AAAAAACATTAAAATACATATCTAAGGGTTCATTTTCCTGACATCACATTATCTGACCTTTTCCGCTTGACTCATACATATACTAGATAAGCAATTGAAATTTATAATTGTACCTTTGTTCTTGGATTAAGAGGTGTGAATTTCCCACTTCCTGATGTGGCATTTAATGGAGAACAAGAATTACTACTAGCTCCTGAAGACCTGTTTATAAGAAATGAAAAGATAGTGAGAGAGTGAACTGTTATTATAAACAACCATCACAATTAATGTGAACAATTCTCTGTGCTGGCAAAACTTGGAAAGAATTGGTTGATTTAGATACAAATGAGGCAAATTATTCATTATATAATTTCACCAACATATAAATTTTTCATTATTTTATTTTTTGCCAGTTCTGGGGCTTGAACTCAAGGCTTGGGTACTGTCCCTGAGCTTCTCTGTGATCAAGTGCTCTACCACTTGAGCAACAGCACCACTTCCAGCTTTTTCTGTGTATGTGGTACCAAGGAATCGAACCTAGAGCTCATGCAGGCTAGGCAAACACTCTACCACTAGCCACATTCTAACCTCTATAACATTTTTTTGGGGGGGTCCGGTCGTGGGGCCTGAACTCTGGGCCTGGGCACTGTCCCTCAGCTCTTCAGCTCAAGGCTAGCGCTCTACCACTTGAGCCACAGCACCAGTTCTGGCTTTTTTCTTTTTGCTTATGTGGTGCTAAGGAATCGAACCCAGGTCCTCATGCATGAAGGCAAACGCTCTACCACTGAGCCACCTTCCTAGCCCCTCTATAACATTTTTTTTTTTGTGTGTCCGGTCGTGGGGTCTGAACTCTGGGCCTGAGTGCTGCCCCTCAGCTCTTCAGCTCAAGGCCAGTGCTCTACCACTTGAGCCACAGCGCCACTTCCGGCTTTATTCTTATGTGGTGCTGAGGAATCGAACCCAGGGCCTCAGGTATGCAAGGCAAGCGCTCTACCACTGAGCCAACTTCCCAGCCCCCCATAACATTTTTTAAACTCATAGAATTTTATTGTTTTAGAGCTTCTTCATCACCACCACAAACACATACTCCTATTATTAAGAGCTTAATGTGACATGATATGATTGATGACTCAATAATGGCACATTATATTAACAAAAGTCCATAGTTTATATAAGGGTTCACCCTTTGTATAATACACTCTGTGGGTTCTGAGAAATAGTTAATGATATGATCTGCCATTACAGTATCAGGCAGGTATTTTAAAATTTTTATGGGTATGTTTTTAACATTTGAAAGAGAAAATGGTTGTGCAGTAGTGTGCAAGAAGGTACACACAATAAAAGACAAATAAGAACTAGAGTAGCACAATAACAGTAAGGATGCAGAATAGAGATGAACCGGGGACACCATCCACTTACCAGCAAAGTGACTCAGCTAGGCAAATCAGCTGAAGATTTGTGAGCTTCAGTTGTACTTATTGTATAAGGAGGAAGACACTGCTGATCAGTTTATCCACCCAGGAAAAATGTATACATAAGTACTCTACATAGGTGTTAGCCCAATTTTGTTTTCAGTAGTCAGCCTATTACTTTCTATGTAAAGCATATTCCTTACTCATCATCAAATTCTCCCGTTCAATATAAACATCTCTGCAGGAATAAGGCTAGCTAAACTTGTCATATATGAATACCCTCTTTTCACAGAAAACCGCAGACCATGTTCACACTGTTTGTATCCTACTTGTATCTTACCTTCTTGTATTTATCGCACTGACAGGAGAGACAGGACTGCACTTTGAGCTTCCTAGAACTTCTGCTCCTGGAATAGATACCTCAATTGTTCGCTTTCCTCCTTCTAAAATTTAAAAACAAGTATTAGTTTCATTATCTTTCAATGAGATAACAAAATTTTGACCAGTTTCTATCTTATTAGAAATTATATATTACCAACTTGATGGGTGTCTGTCCATTAATCATTACGTGCTAATTACACTTGCAAGATTTTCTTTTTAAATTAACAATGAGACTAGAAACTTAAGTTACTTATAGATTCAAAAGCATGACAGTTCAGAGAGCATCTCAGACAAATGGTTTATATTAAGTCCAGAGAGAAAAACAAAAATTAAGAGCTAGCCCCAATGGATTTGAGATCTTTGTCAAAAACAGCATACCTACGCTTTTTCCAAAGAAGAGAAAAAAAGAGAAATTCCAGTAAAATTTAGAGTAAAATTTTCAATCTTTTATATCTATTTCACCATACTTTTGCTGAAGATAGCATTAGAGGAGGGAAACTGTCTGAAGCTCATGTGGCTTAAAGCCAGTATAATTATGCACATTTCCAATAGTTCAGATATAGGCAATACATTAAAAAAGATTCACTAGTTTTTTACATGTGAAAGACTTTAGATGCACCCCAGGCAGTTTCACTAAGTCTTCAGTGAATCACTGCTTAATATTAGTAATTTCCTGGTCATGAAACCATATCTAATTACTAGAATTACTAACGTACTCTAGACAGCAAAAAGAGGCTTGTATACACGTGCCTGCACATGTGCATGTGTGTTTCATGACATCTTTGTTCTTTGTCAGTAAAGACTGTGATTAACAAAAGAATACCTTAGAGATATAACCATTGGAGTAGGAAGAAAAAGCCGATGGAAATTCACAATCTGCTTTGGAAATTCAAATAAATCATTTTACATTCAAAGAGGTATAACATAAACTCTACTCTCAGGGTATGCAAGTTCTGGATGAGATAACAGAAATAAAAATATTTTAACCTTACAAAATAATTGAGACAAAAGATGCTATATTTAACCACACAATTACTCTTCAGAATAATCTGTTTTACATTTCTTCATTGTACCAAGAACTAGCTCATATTATTTCACATACTGATTCATTTGTTTCTGCATACCTATCAAATGATGAGTGTTCAAAATCATACATAGCATGTACATAGTAGTGTTCATACATATTTGGCCAATTTATTCTAATTAGAATCTGCCTCTAGACTACACAACCAAGAAAAACAACAGTCAAAGTTGCTAAATGAAGATCTATTTTCTGGGACTGTAATTTCAAGAAAGAAACTACTTCTAGCTGGGATGACAATACTACTGGCAGAAGTAAAAGAGAATAAATATATTTTAATCAGCACAGAACAAATGACCCCCTCCAAAACACCTAAGAGGATACATCGCTGATACAAAGCTTTTTCTATTCTTAACAAAAAGAACCTTCTCTTACTCTAGGCCCACATAGCTCCATCCCTGAAGGGAATAAATTCAATTTTCCCCTGAAAAACCAACTTGAGATCTTTGTCATTTCATTAATATCTCTTTGAATGTGATTATGAATACTAAGACAACAAATTTTTCTTTTGCTGGCCTATTGCTTAGAACCTTCTCTAGCTTTTAATTCCTAAATTAATGAGAAAAATGTTTAAATGGTTTTAACAGAACAATAATTTGTAATCTGATGCTAACAAAATTCTAAAGTAAAATTTCAATTCTTGTATTTTATACTGAACTGTAGCATATGTAGGTAAATATAAACTTTATTTAGATGTAGTGCAATTTAGGAACTCTAACTCAAAGATTACCTGGCATTATGGGCTAGAAACAATCAAGAGATCAGCTTTCTAATCCTTTTTTTTTGTTTTAAGTTATTCTGTGATTCAAGCCAGTAGCCTTTGGTGTGAAATTAAAGGTAGTGAAATATAAGCTTTGAGATTTCTTTGGTTCAGTGCAAACTTGGAAATTCAAGAAAGTGAAAACACTTAATTTTATTTTATTCTATAAATCATAAATCTTTGACAAACCAGGCCATGCTCTAAGAGGTGCCTGAACTGGCAACACTGGAGAAGAGGAGAGGTTCAAACCAACAAGTTTTTGCTGCTCTATCAATTGTAGTAGTTTCTCTCGAGCCTCCATACTCTGTCGATTCAATTCTGCAATCCGTTCCTCCATGCTACTTGGTGCTAGGGATTGTGCTACTGGACAAGCCTTGGGAAAGCAAGGAAGAAATAGGACATAATTCAGTATTGAAAATCTTCACAAGTTTGACTCTTCTACTAAGTGCCAGCAAGCTAGTGTACATAGCCCTTGCTGTATGTACATGTGAACAGTAGACAAATGAGAATTTACAAATTATTTAATTGAAGAATTAGGACTAAAATAAAAGGATACTAATTATCCTACCACTACTGCCATGTAAGCCCACAGCTTTTCTTTGTTTTTATTATTATTATTTTTTTACAGAGGGGTTACAATTACATGGGCAAGATAATGAGTACATTTCTCATCAAGCATTGTAAGCCTCCTTTGTTTCCCCTTCCCATCCCTTCCCATCCTCCCCCCAACCTCCACCCATTCCTCCTCCCCCGCCCCACCAAAGTGGAAAAGTAAGTTCGTTTTTGACATAATGACTTGTACATCTTATTGTTGCAATGGGTCCATCTGTATCCCTATTTAAACAATTTGTTTTTCCCCTTCCCCTCCACAAATTATACCAACATCAAATACAGTGAAAGCAGGGGTTATACCATGGGGGAGAGACATACAAAGCAACAAAGAAATAATCTTATAAATGTGTTAGAAACAATCACATGAAAGGAAAAAACATTTGAATACATATCTTAGGGTTCATTTCCCTAACATCAACTTATCTGACCTTTTCTGCTTGACTCAGACATATACAGTTATTGCAAATAAGGGAAACCATGGGACTTATGTATCTTTGGGCCTGGCTTACTTCACTTAATATAATTTTTTCCAAGTCTTTCCATTTTCTAACAAATGGGGCAATGTCATTCTTTCTGATGGAGGCATAGAATTCCATTGTGTATATTTACCACATTTTCTTGATCCATTCATCTACTGAGGGGCATCTGGGTTGGTTCCATATCTTAGCTATGGTAAATAATGCTGCAATAAAACATAGTCATGCTGGTAGCTTTAGTGTGGTCTTGTTTGTAATCATTTGGGTAAATGCCCAAAAGTGGGATTGCTGGGTCATAGGGGAGCTCTATGTGGAGGAGTCTTTTGAGGAACCTCCATACTACTTTCCAAAGTGGTTGAACAAGTTTGCACTCCCACCAACAATGCAGTAAGGTTCCCATCTGTCCACGTCCCCTCCAGCATATGTTATTAGAGTTCTTGATTATAGCCATTCTAACTGGGGTGAGGTGGTATCTCAATGTTGTTTTGATTTGCATTTCTTTTATGGCTAGGGAGGTTGAGCATTTCTTTATGTGTGTACTGACCATTCTTATTTCTTCTTCAGAGAAGTTTCTCTTTAAGTCTTTAGCCCACCTATTTATTGGGCAATTGTTTCTTTGAAGATTTGTTGTTGGGGGATTTAATTTTTTGAGTTCCAAGTATATTTTAGATATGAGACCCTTGTCTGTTGTATGGCTAGTGAAGATCTTCTCCCAATCTGAGCCCACAGCTTTTCTCTATTGATCTGTTTGCCTCAGCTAAGCTGAAAAAAAAATGATCACATGACAAAGAGAAGTCTCCTAGTCTAAATGCCATACATCTACTAGAACTTGAAGTAGACAGATTACCAACAAGGATCTACAATATTTGAAACAGATGTTTCCGTAATTGTAGTCCTCAAACATGCATCTAAGTTTGCCAAAGATTCTGAGAACTCAATCACTCCTTGTGACACTGTTAGCCTAATATATCTGATTTGAGAATAGTAGTGGAAAGGAACATGAAACAGAGCTAAATAAGTAAGCAAAACCTTTATTTAATTAAAAAAGCTACACAAGCAATGTAACTTAAGTTTAATTTCAAAATTTCCAAGAGAAATGTACTTACATAATTTCTAACCATTACATTTAGTTAAATATGTATGTTCCTTTTCTATACATATACAATGGAATTTTATTCAGCCATTAGAAAGAATGATATTACATCATTTGCAAAGAATGGATAGATCTGGAAAAAATTATGTTGAAGTCAGGACAAGAGAGACAAAGCACCCATGTTCTCTCTCAGATGTGGAAATTAGAACTAATTTATAAATGCATAAATAAACACATATGGGCTGTATGCAAGTGCACACAGATATATTAACGCAAGTATGGTATTTTTTTATATGCCTCTGCCACATTCTTTAGAAAAGCTCACATTCCAACAAAATGAGTAACAAGAAACAGGGACTTGAAAGGTATGGGGAGAGGTCAAGGGAAGAGGTAGAGAAGTGAAGAAAGGGGGAAGGATACAGCCATGATATTCAACTAAGAAAATTAAGGGGAGGAGATGGGTTAGGAGAGATGGGGGAGAATGATGAAGGTGGTGATATCAAGCAAGATGCACTGTACTTATATATTGATTTGTTGAATGGTAACTTCAAGATAATAAATATTAATTAAAAATATGTTCCTTTGTGAAAAGGCAAACAAACACTCCCTAGTAGAAATTACTAATTTGTAATCTATATCTATTATTATAAAAAAGAAATAAAACAGTATGAATTTTGTATTTTGAATTAAAACAGAAGACCGTGGTAAGGAAATCAATGTGTGATTGCCCTCTGTAGACTGCTGATGCATGTACTAATTAGAAAAGAATGCAAGCTGAAGGCTTAACTGTGTTGCCTTCTTAAAATCAAGAGCTACCACTTTCAAGTAATCTTCAAAATCAAACTTGACTTAAGTCCTACTCAGTGCACTGGTGAGTGTCCCCTTCCTGGTTCTTCCTCTGCCAGTGTCTACTGAGTACTACTTTCTGTAACTCAGTACCTCACTGACTTCACTTGCTATGAGTTCAATGATGACATAGGTGGCCCTTATTTTCACCTCTCCTTAATGTCACCAAAATTCTAAATTAACTTTTTTTTCAGTGATACTGGGGTTGGAATGCAGAGCCTCCCATTTGCTAGACTCTACCACATGAGCCATACTCAACCCTGTGTTGTTTTATTTTTATTTTTTTGTTTGGTCTCCATGAACTCTGGCCTGGGTGCTGTCCCTCAGCTCTTCAGCTTAAGGTGAGCACTCTACCACTTGAGCCACAGCACCACTTCTGGCTTTTTCTGCTTACGTGGTGCTGAGGAATTGAACTTAGGGCTTCATGTATGCAAGGTAAGCACCCTACCACTGAGCCACCTTCCCAGCCCCTAGTTTTAGATATTTTTCAGGTAAGTTCTCATCATTTTTGCCCAAGCTGGCCTCCTACTACAATCTCCTAGCTAGGATGACAAACTTTAACCACTACCCCAATTATTGGTTGAGATGGGTCTCATTAACTTTTTGCTCAAACAGGCTACAACTGTGATCCTCCCAATCTTTACTTCTGGAGTACCTGATCCAGCTCCTTCTTGCTGCTAAAACATTGTACTGCCCCTTGATAGGATATTTACAGGATCTATCCTGACTCAGAATGGGGCAAAAGGAAGTGTTCTTATCATTGGGATCTGCATGAGGAGGTATATCATCAACAATTCTGGGTGGAACTTAAGGTACTCTTTTCCCCCCACAAATATGGCAATGAAGGTTTAAATTACCAGATTAGCCTATAAAGATGCCTATTAATGGCTTGAATATAAAATGTCCACCAGGGGTATAGTTCCCAACTGATGAGATTCTGGGAAGGGGTTGGATCCTGAGGAGTTAGGCATAATCATAATGGATCATAATACAATGACATTATCAAAATACAATTTTAAAAACTTGGAAGTAAAAAAGCTTGGAAGCAAAAGTACATTAAAAAGGACAGATGTATTGTCCCTTGTCTGTCTGTCTGTCTCCTCTTTCCTCCCTCCGCTACCTGCTCTCTCTGCTTCTTGGCCACCATGAGGTAGGTAACAGCCTTTGCCACATGCTCTGCCTTACCTCAGTGTCAAAGCAACAGACTCAGGTGATCACGCAAGCCAACAGAAATCTTTCCTCCCTTTAAATTATTCCCCAGGCATTTGTCACAACAATGGAAGGTTCTGAGTAACACAACTCTTAGCTTAAATTCCCAGTCAATCGTGAACTGGTACTCACAGCAGCATCCCCAGCACTTTCCTGCTTGTTCAGCTCCCGCAGCCCATCGCCTTGTTCTCCCCCAGACACAGTAATGTTATTCAGATGTGCCTTGATGGCTGAATTCTGAAGTGTCAACTCAGCAATTCGGGCCATTATGTCCTTTCTTTGTGTCAATGTCTCATTTGATTGAAATTGTTGCCCATCTCCAAGGATAGGGAACTCTTCTGAGAATGGAGGATTTCTCAACTGTTGAGTAGTAGGATGGGAACTTGACAGTGGCTGTGAGAGATTAACAAATGGTGTCTGAATTTTGTTCTCTAAATCTTCTCCCATGTGAGAGACTCTCCACCTCTGAGTGAAGAGACGACTCTCTTCATTTGAATTCTGATTGTCTATATCAATAGGTAACATTTTCTTTTCCCAATTTTGTTCCTTCTCAATTACTTCTACAGTTGGAGGAATTCGTGGAGCTGGACGAGTTTGAACAGTCCTCCTCAACACTGTAGACAAAATTTTTAAATGATAAGCATATTATTTTTCAATGAATTGGTACTATAATCATTTCATCTGACTGTCATAGTAGCTAGAGAAGCATTTCCACAGAAGAGTTTGGCTTTGAATCTCTAAATTATTTTCAGTAGAGAATATGAGGCCAATGCTTCCCTAATAATCAAATACAAAGACTTTATATTTCTAAAAGCATTTATCAGTATTTTCATGAAAAACCACCTGGTAAGTCACTTTATACATTTTGATTTATGTTAACTCCTCTCTCAGGAGATGAGAAAAAGAATGTAAGCACTTAATTTAAACAAATTGTTTAAATAGGGATACAGGTGGACCCATTGCAACAATGAGATATATAAGACATTATGTCAAAAAATGAACTTTACAACTTTGGGGGGGGGATAGGAGGGCAGGGATGGTAAGGGGAAACAAAGAAGGAGGCAACAATGCTTGATAAGAAATGTACTCATTACCTTGCCCATGTAATTGTAATCCTTCTGTATGGTATTTTCACAATAAAAAAACTTTTTAATAATAATAAAAAAAAGAAAAAGAAGTGGCGTTGTGGCTCAAGCGGCAGAGTGCTGACCTTGAGCTAAAGAGTGCAGGGACAACGCCCAAGTCCAGAGTTCAAGCCCCACAACTGACCAAAAAAAAAAAAGATTAGGGCTGGGAAGGTGGCTCAGGGGTAGAGCGCTTGCCTTGCATGCATGAGGCCCTGGGTTTGATTCCCCAGCACCACATAAGCAAAAAGAAAAAAAAGCCGGAAGTGGCGCTGTGGCTCAAGTGGTAGAGTGCTAACCTTGAGCTCAAGAGCTGAGGGATAGCGCCCAGGCCCAGAGTTCAGGCCCCATGACTGGACTCAAAAAAAAAAAAAAAAAGATTAAACTCTGGCCGGGCACTGGTGGGCTCACGCCTGTAATCATAGCTACTCAGGAGGCTGAGATCTGAGGATCGAGGTTCAAAGCCAGCCCAGGCAGGAAAGTCCATGAGACTCTTATCTCCAATAAACCACTAGAAAACCAGAAGTGGTGCTGTGGCTCAAGCAGTAGAGCGCTCGCCTGGAGCTGAAAAGCGCAGGACAGCGCCCAAGCCCAGAGTTCAAACCCCATGACTGACCAAAAAAAAAAAAAAATAGGACAATCAATAAATAACTTTTAAGTAAAAAAAAATAAACTTAGAATGGCCAAAGAAATCCTGTCTGAAGAAGTAAGTTTAAATTATTACATGTGTAATAGAAAGGAAAGCAAAAGATATCAAAGGCCAGGCCGGAGTTCAAGCTTCATGACTGACAAAAAAAAAAAGATATCAGAAGCAGAGAAGACAGCATATGTGAAGCCTCAATATACAGAGGAACAAAGAAAAGAGGCAGTCCAGCTATAGCTAACAACAAGGGGATATAGGAGATTGGAGAGATATGTACTTGTCATTCTAGCACAGCTTTTCAGACCATGTTACAAGTTTTATATTTTAAGTGCAATGAAAATTTAATGACTCAGTTCACATTTTTCTCTCTGCTCTCTTCTCCATCTACCTCTCTCTTTATTTCTTGAACTCAGGGCATGAACATTGTTCCTGAGTTTTTTTGCTCAAGATTAGTATACTACCAATTGAGTCAGCTCTACTTCTGACTTTTGGTTAATTGGAGATAAGAATCTCACAGACTTTCCAGGCTGGCTTCAAACCACCATCTTCAGATCTCAACCTTGTAAACAGCTAGAATTATAGGCATTAGCCAGATCAATTTACATTTCTTATATGCTATGAACAATGGGAGAGTAAGAAAAACAGGAATCAGGGAATCCAGGAAGCAAATGCCAAAGTTTAGTAGAAAGTGTCAGTAGCTCTGACAAAAGTATATGGACAAAAGAGATACAATAAATCTGGGGAATATATTGGCAATAAAAATGAGAGTCATGAACTAGAACTGAAGATTTGGAGAAATAAAGATCAACAAGTTATGTATCTTGAGTGGATAGGGACAAGAAAAGGATTTGGGAAAAGAGAATTGTCAAACTTCAATTTTAAGCATGCTAAATGTAAGACACTTCATGATTCACCTATGTATCCATCCAGATAGAAGACTGAAATTTCAAAAAAGGCTGAGATCAAACTGGAAGTCACTTGTTTATGGAAATATGGAAGCTATGACATGTATCTATCCAGACTGATGACTGAAATTTCAAAAAAGGCCGAGATATCAAACTGGAAGTCACTTGCATATGGAAATATGGAAGCTATGAGAATGAGATTATCTAGAAAAAGAACAGCATGAGGAAAGAAACCAAGAAAACCAAGAAACCAAGACACAACTCAACATTTGCAATCTAGTAAAGGAGGGCAAGCTACCAAAACAGACTAAAATGGAGTAGCCAGGCAGACAAGAAAAATATTCCATAAATGTAGTATGAAGGAAATAGAAATGCAGCTAATTGCAGCGACTTCTACTCAATGAGAAAAAAAAAATAACCTCATTTACTTGTAGTTGTCAGGTATTTTGCCATAGCAATAAAAAACTGATTCACATAGGGAAATGAACCCTAAGATATGTACTCAATTTTTTTTCTTTCATGCGATTGTTTCTAACACATTTATAAGATGATTTCTTTGTTGCTTTGTATGTCCCTCCCCCCACAGTATAACTCCTGCTTTCACTGTATTTGATGTCGGTATAATTTGTGGAGGGGAAGGGAAAAAACAAATCGTTTAAATTGGGATACAGGTGGACCCATTGCAACAATGAGATGTACAAGTCATTATGTCGAAAACCAACTTTACAACTTTGGTGGGGGGGAGCGGGAAGGATTGAGGGGGGAGGATGGGAAGGGATGGGGAGAGGAAACAAAGGAGGAGGCTACAATGCTTGATAAGAAATGTACTCATTTTCTTGCCCATGTAATTGTAACCCCTCTGTACAGTATTTTCACAATAAAAAATAAGTATTTAAAAAAAAAACTGACTCACAAAGAAAAGCATCCTGAAAATTCTTCCTTCAGCTGAAAGACTGTGTATAGTAAGCAATATCTTTTTCAGTTGTTTTTCAGGTAACTCAGCAAAATACAATACATAAATGAAGCTTGAAAAAAACTTCCACACAACTGTAGAAAAATCCTGCTTACCATCCTGCAGAGGAGAGAATTCTGAGCTGGTCTTCTGCCTGGGTGGTGTTAACAACACAGCTGGCTCATAAATATGGGTTGGCAAATTATTGGCCATGTTCATACTACCTGGGGCATTTGGGACTTGAGACAGTTTAACAGGTAACTCTTCCTGTGGTAGCTCAGCTCCTTCTTCTACTCTGAACATCAATGGCACAGAGGCACTGGCACTGACAGGACACTCTGAAGAAGATAAGAGGGTATTAGTATATAAGGAACTAAAAAGAACTGTGAGTACATTTCAGATAGTTATTCTTCAATGTATTTGGGTAAAAATGCACTTTCTGGGCTGTATCTTCCTTTACCAGTAATTCACAAGCAGGAATGGGTGAGTGCTGGGAATAAGTTGATATGTTTCAGAAAAGCACAGAGGTCACAAAGAAAGAACTCCTAAAATTAATTGCCATTTTAGTTTTGCATTATTTGCCCTGATAGCTTTCTAATAGTTATAACAAGTAACAAAATGGCAAAAAAAATAGACCATATTTACATACTGACTGCCATAACCAAGGCTCATTAAAAACTGTGGAATTTTTACAAGTCCATGCCCTGTCAAACTACAGTCACAATCCATATTCCTTTAAGAGATCCAAGAGCTGAGACTCAGAAAGATACTAACCTGGTTTCACTTATACAAATCTTTCTTTTCCCATAGGCAATGAAAAGAATTAGCAGAACTTTACTTCCAGCCTTTCTCACTTTTGGATAGCTAAAAGCTTTCAGTAATGAAGCTTAACTCAGATGATGATAAAGCATGTACTCCTTCACTAGATATTAATAGTAAGACTCAACCAGCAGGCAGAGATCTGTACTCATTAATACAAATACCTTATGCAAACTGAATTTGGATCTGCCATTTTTTTATAATCAATCCTATCAATCCTAAATACATAAAAGACTTTATACACAATTATCAAAAAAATTACTTAGAAGTGAAAAAGTAGCTGGATAATGGTGGTTCACGCCTGTAATCCTGGCTATCGAGGAGGCTGAGATCTGAGAATCTCAGTTCCATTCCAGTCTATGAGATTCTTATCTCCAATTAACTACCAGAAAGCCAGAAATGGAGCTGTGGCTCAAAGTAGTACAGAGCTAGCCTTGAGTACAAAAACTCAGGGACAATGTCCAAGCCCTGAGTTCAAGTCCCAAGACCAGCACACACAAAAAAAGTGAAAAGGTTCAAATGTCCTATTCAGTCCATTGCACATGAAGGAACACAAAAGAAAAGATTTCAAAACCTTACCATATCTGAATAAAAATTATGAATTTCTAAAACTCAGGATTGTTTGTTTTTTCTAATGCTATCTCTCTCATCCTGACTCTGGGGCATCATGATTCATCTGGTACACCCAAGTCCTGACCTAGGTATCAACTTTTTCTACAGTCTACCTCTGTAACCGGGAAGTTACCATCTCTTTCTAAGCCTCATTTTCTTTATCTGAAAAATTGGAGCAACAATAATTCCTACCTTACATGACTATTATGATGAGTACATATAAGACTTAAAAATCATGTGATATGGAGAAAGCATTAAATAACTACCAGCTACAAAAGTAATGACTCTTGTGTAAGTGATACTACAGTATGTACATAAACAGCTAATAACTCGATTTAAGTTTAGGAGCTACAGGTTGAGTTTGCTTGCCTGTTGCTACTCTAAGGCTGCTGAGTAGTTTAATGACAGCCTACCTGAATTTTCTATAATCATTCTACTCGTGGCTCCTCTTTCTGTTACTTGACTTTCTTGTCTAGAGTTATTAATCACAGGACAATTCTTAATGGCATGTGTGAGTGATATAAGCTGCTCATCTGTTGTGACCATGTACTGCTGAAGTCTTGCCTAAAGAGGAAAAGAAATAACACTGTTAGCATAATGAACACTAAGGCATCACATAGAAAACAAATTTGAGACTTCCATTCAAATTCTAAATAACTCTATTCACAATTAGAAAAACTCTAACAATCATAAAACAGAGAGATGGTTAAGTAAATGAGTAATTAATAAATATTAGTAATTAATAAATATAATTAATTAGTAGTTAATAAATATAATTAATTAAATAAATATAATTAAATAGTAATTAATAAATATAAGTAATTAATAAATATCCTATTTAAAACAAGAAAAACAACAAAGGACCTTTTTTATCATTTCCAATTTACAAAACCTCTTCATAGAGATCATTTCAACTGACGTTTAAGCTACCCCAAGAAACAGATATATCAGGTAGAGGAAACAATAGACTAATCCTCAGACATTAAGCTAAACTAAACACGAATGCTATACAGATTTACAGTAATGTTTATGAAACAATACTAAAGAAAAAATAAAAGCAAAGTCCTATATACAACATAACTACAACTTTGTGTTTTACATGTATATGGTAACTGTATTTATATATGTGTATATATTTCTCATATATAAATGTATATATCTCAAATTTTAATGTTACATAAGATTTTCTTTTATTTAAAAACTCATTCACAGAAGATTTCACAACTGATTTACATTTGGAATCCCATTCTTACATTTAAAAGTCAACTGAATTACCCAGATCTTTTCAACACTGTAGATGTAAGTAGGTCATCTGAAAGCAACAGGTTTGATTACCACCATATAATTCAAGTCTTAAGTTAACTATTGGTATAACAGATGGTTTTTAGAAGCAGAGAAGATGGCAGGAAAAAGGAAAGAAGGGAGAACTGTATAAATTGCATAAGAATTGCTGACAATAACTAGTCTAAGCATATATATATTTCATATATGTTTTCATAGATGTCTCAATCTAAGATATACAAAACCAAAATCTCCCACAATCTTTTCAAACCAAAATCTCCTAAGATATGTTCTACCTCATAAACACCAAGTTTATTTTTTTGTTTAGTCTAAAATTTTGAAATCAGGCTTATTAGCCATTTTCCTCTCCTTTCTTTTCCTTTCCTCCATAGTCAATGCGTTTGGTTGGCCTTCTGAATACATTGAGACTTTATTCAATTTTTCCTGCTTCTAATTTAGAGCAAGCTTCAAGGTCCCACCTAAGTTACTACAACAATCTTATCTATTTAATGCTCTGCTCCAGTGTTTGGCCACCTTTTCTAGCCAAACCTTAATGCTGAAGAACTCAAGGCACTCAAGGCACAAAATTTTCAAGAGACTCAGAGAAGTTCAATACTATCAGATAATAGGGAACTATTAGCAGGCCATGGCTCACAGTTTCAGTATGAAGATTATATTACATTCCTTTTGATAATATCAAATCGGCTGGGTTTTTAGCAGTTGCTATGTTAAAAAAAAAGTTCTGGATGAAAAGCAATGTAGAACAGGAAATAAGAGTAATAGTGCCCAATAAGACTCTAGGTTTTGAAAGTTGTGCAATGTTTAAAAGGCATACATATTCCACAGTTGTTTGGACTGAACAACTTAGTAAATGAAACCACTGGTATTTCTTTTGGCCTTGGAGTATCATGAGACACTAAGAACATTTTGACAAAATGAAGGACAACAGTGTCTGATCTATGTGTACTGACCTTGTCTCCAACTGTTCCCTCCTTCTCACACTACTCCCACCACATTGATGCTTGGCAACTTTGAGCTCATAGTTAATTTCCTCAAGATCTCTGGTCTACTTTTTCTCTAGACTGCTGTTCCCTCAGCTATCTGTTCATTGCCTCAACCCTTCTAAACCTATGTTCAAATGTCATCCTCTCAGACTGGTGCAACCCATCTCATTCAAAACTGTATCCAACCCACTGTAGCTATTTCTTATGTCTGTGATTTGCTTTATTTTTCTTCAAAGTACATATTGCTGCTTAATTTACCATACACTTCACTTTTTTATTTTTAGAATTTATTTACAATGTAATATCCATAGGGCAAAGATTTCTATATTTGTTCATTACTATTTCCTACATTTAGAACAAGGCTATGCTCAAAGAAGGTGCTCAAAAAAGATTTGTTCAGGAGCTAGGCACCAGTGGCTCACTCCTATAATCCTAGCTACATAGGAGGCTGAGATCAGGAAAACAGTTCAAAGCCAGTACAGGAAGAAAAGTCTATGAGACTCTTATCTCCAATAAAATATTCAGAAAAAGCCAGAAATGGTACTGTGGCTCAAGCTTTGAGCACAAAGAGGCTCAGGGACCATGCCCAGGCCCTGAGTTCAAGACCCAGGACCAGAAAAAAAAGATTTGTTGAGGAAGTAGAGGTATGGCTCAAGTGGTACAGTGCCAGCACTGCACTAAAAAAGCCAAGCAAGAGTAAAATGCTCTGAGTTCAGGTCCCAGTACTGGAACTGGCACAAGCACGCGTGTACATGTACACACATACACAAAGATATTAAAGATTTGTTGAATCTTTTAAATACTTTAAAAATCTTTCTGTCATCCTAGAAGAATTGAAAACATGTTCCTTAAAAAATGTACATGAGGGCAGGGAATGCAGCTTAGTGGTAGAGTGGCTGCCTCACATGCATGAAGCCCTAGTCTCAGTTCCTCAGTACCACATACACAAAAAATGCCTTGAGCAAAAGAAGCTCAGGGACCTGCCCAGGCCCAGAGTTCAAGCCCCAGGACTGGCAAAAACAAAAAACAACAACAAAAAAATGTACATGAATGTTCACAGTAGCAATATTTGGAAATAACTCAAATATTCATTAACTGATACAGATAAATAAAATGTATACACATGAAAAGTGGAATATTACTAAGTCATAGAAAGGAAATACTGAAATATTATATACTATGTATGAACTTAAAATTATATGCTAAATGAAAAAAGTTAGACATAGAGGACGACATATTATATAATTCTATCTCTATAAACCATCCAAATTAGCTAAGTCCACTGAGACAGAAAGGACATTGATTTTTCAGACGAAAATACACAGTGCTTCTCATGACTATAGAATTTCCCTCAGGATAATGAAACTTTTCTAGACTAATATGACAATACTGGTACACAATTCTCTTTATATTAAAAACATGAACTTATTCACTTTACAGTGTTAGACTTGGCATGTGGACTATATATGTCCATTCATACAACACAATTTGTCTAGTAGTTCTTCTAGTCTTTATGGCTTATATAAATTAGTAATGGCCCATAAGAACAAAAAGATAAATAAAACTTTATCTGCAGTCACACAGCACAAATTCTCAGTAATGAGTATAACATAATTAGTAAAAGTAATGATAGCATTATCCAAAAACATATCAAATGTACATAAAAGAATTTTTTTTTTTTTTGGTTAGTCATGGGGCTTGAACTCTGGGCTTGGGTGCTATCCCTGAGCTCTTCAGCTAAAGGCTAGTGCTCTACCACTTGAGCCACAGCACCACTTCCGGTTTTCTGGTGGTTAATTGGAAAGAAGAGTCTCACAGACTTTTCTGCCTGGGCTGGCTTTGAACCGTGATCCTCAGATCTCAGCTTCCTCAATAGCTAGGATTATAGGCGTGAGCCACTGGCGTCCGGCCATTAAAGAACATGAAAGCCTTAGATTATCAAGAAGAGCTATTGTCTAAGTATTATTTTTTCAAAACAGCAGTTAGAGGCTGGTGGTTTGGCTCAGGGTACAGTTGTTTTTCTTAAATTTTGTGTGGCCCTGGGTTCAGTCCCAAGAACCATAAAAAATAAATGAGTAATCAGTCTAGTGGTAAAGCAAATAAAGATACTGTACGCAAACTACAAATAGCATCTGATGTAACTGAAGGAAGGCTAAATTGAAAACTGACCTTAATGCTCATACTTTGAAGAAACTACCATGATATTGGAAGTTATTATTTAGATATAGATCTATCTTTTCCACTACATAGTATACTTCTTATCCTATAAACTATTCATAGCTTTTACTATAGTACTTCTGATGTAAATGTTCAAAAACACCTACACTGATGATGATGATAATGAGGTTGTTAAGTAATCACATCAACATAGAAACAAAGGCAACTCAATGAGAATCCTATACATGTGTAAAGATCCTTTATAAAGTCAAACATGGAAAAATTTGGAAGAGCATCTAAGTACCTGTGTGGTAGAATTTTCTTCTCTAAGAAGAAGAATTTCAGCAGTCAGAGCATCAATGAGCTCTCGATGATCTCCTAATATCTGTTCTAGTTGCTGCCTTGTCTCTACTTCTTTACGTAATTGAAGCTCACTCTAAAAAATAATTACATACATAGGTAGATAGGTAGGCAGACAGACAGAAAGACAGATTGACTGACAAAACAAAAACTCCCACCCAATAGCATCACATATTGAAAACGAAAGGTTTCTACTCAAACCTGGAAAACAAGATAATTACAAAGAAGCATTCATTATATGATAGCAATGAAACTTGAAAATTTTTATAAGAATGTTTATAAGACTTAATTTAATGTGTTGCTTTATCCTCTTTCCTTCTTAGTAATAAGCAAAATGGTATGTAGAATTAAATAACTAAATTTTCATAATATACATATTTTTGAATATTCATAGACCATCTCTAGGACATACTGGTATCAAGTAATGATAGCAAGCTGTAAGGAAGAAAACAGGTTGGATGGAAGTTAAAGATAAGAATTAGAAGGAGGGGTTAACAACGCTCGATAGGAAATGGACTCATTACCTTGCTCATGTAACTGTAACCCCTCTGTACAGTATCTTTACAAGAAAAATATATATTAAAAGGAAAGAATTAGATTTTTGTTAGGTGCCAGTGGCTTCTGCCAGTAATCTTGGACAGAAAAGTAAGCTAGACACTATTTCCAAAATAATCAGCAAAGATCAGGGCTGAAGGCCTGGCTTGAGTGGTAGGGTACCGGTCTAGCAAACACAAGGACTGAGTTCAGATTCCAGAACCACAAGAAAGGTATGAGGTTTTTCATTCTATCCATCTTTGAATTTCATGCTATGGTATACAGCACCAATTTTGCTAAAATATAATTTTAAAAATTAACATTGAATCATGTTGATTGCATCCATTAATGGTTTAGCTTCCAATCCTGTAATACTTCCCAAGCACCAGAAGTACACTCCTTAAGATTACTGACTTAAGGGTGGAAGGGATGAGGATTTTTACAAATATGACAGTACAAAACATCTTATTAAACATCTTAATCAGTAACTAATTATATTTTCAAACAGTATTTACTAAAACATTTTGTGATATTTATTAAGATTCAAATTCATGGCAGTGGTGCTGTGGCTCAAATGGTAGAACTCTCCTCGAGTTGAAGAGTTCAGAGACAGTGCCCAGGCCCAGAGTTCAAGCCCCACAACCAACCAAAAAATAAAAAATAAAAGATTCAAGTTCATAATAAGCTAATAAATTTTTTAAAGATAAAATACCCAACAAACCCTTAACTCTACAGAATTATAAAAAAACCATTATTATTTAGATGCAAAGAAACAAACTGGTTTGTTTGATAAATTATTTCCACAACAGTAAGACACTACCCACTTAGACAATTAAACCACATACAAATTACCAGTCATACAGAAACCATGAAGAATTTTCATACCTACCAAGTCTACAGATTTAGGCAATATCACTCTCCAAATTGAACTAACATGGGAGTAAAGGGGAAAGCAATAGGCAATAGTGCTAATCTGTAACTGCCAATCAGTAGTATTTAGTGTTATCACAAGATAGAAATCTATTTATAGCAGATTTGCCTTACTAATTATAATTTGCTAAAGCTCCTACAAATATCATTATCTAAGCATGTATTTACTGGTGGTAGCAGGAAACTATTGACTTTTACTGCATGTGATCAAAAAGATTTTTTTAGTTATTTAAATTTGATTTTGAGGATGCAATAGATTATATAAGAGGAACCTCACTATACACATTCTTACTGAAGAGATTTGCATAACATCCCACTCTTACCTCTTTAAGGTATCGAACTAGGCGACAGAGAGAGCTCACCAGCGACAAAGTGAAGCCTGTGAGACCCTGACCACTCTGCAGTCCCTTGACCTCACGTCCTGTCCACCGCTCATATTCTTCCATTTCATGTTCCACTTCATGTATCATGTGTTTAAGGATATCCAGGCTGGCACTGTTGCTACCTGGTATGTCTGCAGAGGTTGTGCTAGCTGATAACATGTTTTCCTTTTGCTTAGGAGTATGCAGATCTGGTTTTCTTTTCACTACGAATGACAGAAATAGTTTTATTTCAAGATCAGTACAAATAACAACTACAAAATTACTAGAAAAAATCATTATTCATCATTTATAAACCGTTGTTATAGAAGTTATCATCATTTTAGCATAAACATCTGCATAGTTTAAGAGGTCTATACTATCTGCAATGAATATACTATAACTTTCTTTTCTAAGTTATGTATGATTAGGAAGGATTTTGTAGCCAAGCTTTGGTAAACTCTAATTATATCCAACTGAATTAGTAAGGAGTAGGGAAAAAGATTTTAGAGATTAAGGCAGCTATATCAATGCACATGTTTAATAATTCATCTTTATAAAGGAAGGGGTGGAACCTTTATTTAGCAGCTGTTTTTGCTTCCTTGAGTTCAGCACCTGTCCCACCACCATGCTTGAGCCTACAGTCTCAGTAGATTCCTCGGGCTGAAGCCTGCTTTGGATTCTCTTGACGGCACTAGTAGCATTCAGAGCAGCTGAAAGGAAGCACATTGCAACATACCTCGAGTAAACAGACTTTCTTTAAACAGTATTTCAACTAACAGATCCATCAGAATATTAGTCAATTAGCCTACATAAGAATGTCAAAATTTAAAAGATATTTCTTTAAAAATTACAGTGTTCAAGAAAGAACCTAATTAAAGCAAATTACTAGAAATAATGCAGAGGTAACAAACAAACCTCTTGGTTCCCCTGATGATGGAGATCCTGGAGGAGTTGTTACTTGTGACTGTGTTGCTAATTTCTGCTGAATATCAGTCCACAATTTATTAATAAACTCAGAATTTTCTTCCTTTAGTTGGTGGAGAAACCTGTAAATTATGTGACAATAAGCTATATTAGAGTTAACAGGTGTTATCACTGTAATTGTCCTTTTGCATTGATTTGAAGGCGCTTTTAATTTATTTGTGTGTTTGTTTATTCATTTAGTTTTTGATAATCATGGAGCTTGAACTTGGAGTCTGGGCATTGTCCCTGGGATCTTTTGCTCAAGGCTAGTGCTCTACCACTTTGAGCCAGTTTGAGCCACTTCCAATTTTCTGATGGCTAACTGGAGATAAGTGTCTCATAGACTTTCCTGCTGGCTTCAAACTGTGATCTTCAGATCTGTGCCTTCAAAGTGGCTAGGATTACAGGCGTGAGCCATCAGAACCCAGCTTGAAGAAACTTTTAATAATTTACAATCAAAGAAAAAATAGTTTCACTATAACCAAAACAGGCAAAGAGCCCATTATCTCTGTGTTAGAAGAATCATTCCATCTGCCTCCCAGGCTCCTATTTATCTGGACACCAAGCAGGAGCATTGGCCTTTTCTGTTTTTTGTCATGGTTCCCTCCTTCCTTCTCTTTAAAGTAATTATGTGAAAATGAATCAGTCTCTTTGAGCTTAATAATCGGAGAAATGCTCAGTCTACTTAGATTGCAAAATACATCACAGTTAATTGAATTTCTATTAGGGGAACATGCACTATAGAGAAGGGCAAGAGTATGGCTAGCACTGAAGTAGGAGGTGAAGCATGTGATTCATGGGTCTCCTCAATGACCTCAGCAGAAGCCAACAAAAAAGAAGGGGTTACCCAGGAAAGATCTATCAAGGTTCTCTTTTCTAATAGAGTAGATTGCAATGAGTCACAAAAGACACAAAATCTTTAGCCAGCAGAAATACAAGTTTAGATTCAAAGAGACAGAAACAGGATGAAGATTTGGTACCAGACTTCTAGTTTTCTACAGACAAGAAACAGGCTGATAAAAGTACTTAGCTACAGATGTAGATTATCCTTCAACAATAAGGAAGGATGATCTCAAGGCCAGAGCTAAAGATGTAGAAGCAAGCTGTTCAAGCACAGACACCACAGCAAGAGCCACAGAAATAGAGGAGAGCTAGTTACCCAGAGAATGAAGACTCAAGACTACAGAAGATTATTCCCAGGCCAAAAATCTAATGGAGTTTACCCTGCTAATTTCAAAGTTGTAGTTGTTTTCTTCTTGTAATTTTGATTTTGCTTTCTTCTTTTGATATTTTTCTCCTTTAAAATGAGAATACTGATCTGTTATATCAGTATATTATACTGATCTGTTATATCAGTATATTATGAAAGCAAATAACTCATTTTCTAATTTCACAAACTTAGAAAAGCATTTTTCAACAGAATGGATCATTTCTAAAGTCTTATATTTGATTTGTTATTCCTATTTTTTTTTTGCCACTCCTGGGGCTTGAACTCAGGGCCTAAACACTGTCCCTGAGCTTCTTTTGCTCAAGGCTAGCATTCTACCACTTGAGCCACAGTGCCATTTGCAGCTTTTTCTATTTATGTGGTATTGTGGAATTGAATCCAGGACTCTATGCATGCTAGGCAAGCACTCTACCACTAAGCCATATTCCCAGACTTACATCTGATTTAGGTGATTAGATTTGGAACTTTTTTTGTTGGGGAACAATAATGGGGCTTGAACTCATCAAGGCCTTCAATTTGCTAGACAGTTACCACTGCCACTAGCCTGTAGACAGTTACCACTGCCACTAGCCTTTTATGTACTGGGGTGTGTGTGTGTGTGTGTGTGTGTGTGTGTGTGTGTGTGTGTGTGTGTGTGTGTGTGTGTGTGTGTGTGTGTGTGTATTATGTACTGGTGTGTGTGTGTGTGTGTGTGTGTGTGTATACACGCACACTCCTGTCCTGGGGCTTGAATTCAGAGCCTGGGCACTGTCCTTGACCTTTTTTGCTCAAGGCTAATGCTCTACCCATTGAGCCATAGCTCCACTTTGAACTTTATAGCAGTTAACTGGAGATAAGAGTTTCATGGACTTTTCTCCCTAGGCTGGCTTCAAATTGTGATCCTTCGATCTCAGCCTCCTGAGTAGCTAGGATTATAGGCAGGTGCTACCAACACCCAAATATACTGGTTATTTCTGAAATAGGTGTCTCACTTTTTGGCCTGAATGTATGCTTGGACTGTCATCCTATTTTTCATTTCCCTCCATAGCTGATATGACAGGTACATGGTGTCATGTCCAGATTCTTTCATTGAGATGAAGTCTTGAAAAATTTTCTGCCCACACTGGCCTAGAACTCAGGTCTTCCTGATCTCTGTCTCTCACAGATAGCAGAGCAAATAGCTAATAGCTATCCTAGCTACATCAAGCTATTAGTTAAGAAGAAGCTTCATGTGCATGCTTAGGCTGTCTCAGAGTCCCAGTCCTTCTACTCTCAGTCTCTAAAATGGCTAGGATTACAGGCATAAGTCAACAGCTCCTTTTTTGGGCCAATGGTATTTGGGTGAGATTTTAAACTTAAACTGATGTTGAGACTTGGAGGATATAGGGATGGGACTCTGTGGGCCACTGGGTGCATCATATGCTAAATAAATCCTACAGATGTTTCGCATCCCAGAACCTGAAAAATATTGCCTTTTATGGTAAAAAAAAAAAGGAGGCTGAGATATCTGCAGGTCAAATTAAGAATATTAAGATGGAATGCTGGATGTGTGGCTCATGTATCTGAATGCTTGCTTGCCTAGCAAATGCAGGGTCCTGAGTTCAAACCACAGTACTTAAAAAAAGATACTAAGATGGAGATGGAAAACAAATGGAGAATCAGACAGACAGACAGACAGGCAGACAGACAGACAGACAGACAGAGAGCTAGAGAGAACTAGAGAGAATAAAAACACAGGCAAAGACTAAAGTAATGAAGCCAGAGGGGGAAAAAGGCCAAAAGCCATCAGAAGAGTCTGGAGGGAATGTGGTCCTACCTTAATGTCTGCCTAGTGAAACTGACTTTGGATTTCTGGCTCCTAGAACTGGGAAAGAACATACTTCTGTTATTCTAAGTCACCAGTCTAGTGGCAATCTGTTCCACAACCAAGAAACTAATAAACCACTTAAATTTATTTTGTAACTTTCATTGTAAATACTCAACAAATCTTTAATGATTATCCTTGAAATTTGGGGGCTGAGAAGTAATTTCTTTGAAGTACTTATCTCCATCCAAAGACAGCAAATTCCCTTAGATCTGAAACTCAGGTTTTTTTGTTTGGAGTGTTTTTTTTGTTGTGTGTGTATGTGTGTGAGAGAGGTTTTTTTGGTGTGTGTGTGTGAGAGAGAGGGTGTGTGTGTGTGTGTGTGTGTGTGTGTATGTGTGTGAGAGAGGTTTTTTTGGTGTGTGTGTGTGAGTGTGTGTATGTGAGAGAGAGAGAGAGAGAGAGAGAGAGAGAGAGAGTGTGTGTGTGTGTGTGTGTGTGTGTGTGTGTGTGGGGCCTGAACTCTGGGTCTGGGCGCTGTCCCTCAGCTCTTCAGCACAAGGCTAGTGCTCTACCACTTGAGCCACAGCGCCATTTCTGGCTTTTTTCTTTTTGCTTATGGGGTGCTGAGGAATCGAACCCAGAGCCTCATGCATGCATGCTCTACCACTGAGCCACCTTCCCAGCCCTCTTGGGGAGGCTTTTTGATTCTATTTATTTTGGGCACAGGTCCAAATTCAAGCTTCTTCCATTTTCATTGATGAAAATTCTGTTTTATAACAGTATCAATTTCAACAGTATTCTAATATTACAACTGTACAGATTAAGCTAGGAATATTATGTATCCTTAATTTATACCTGTAACAGTCAAACCCACACACACAAAGGAAGTTGTCCAAGCCTAGTGGAAACAAGCAATTTGTCACCCAGTCATTTTCACTTGGAATTCCACCCTTTTGCCATTGATAACCCTAAGTATCAGTTTTCCAACCCACATCTCTATTATTTTATGACAGAGCTCTGCAGACTAAGTAAGACACTGGTAAAAAGAAAAAATGAGAAAACAACTGTAATCACTACTTCTTCCTAAATGAACTGAAACATCAAAAACTTAGACTGGATATGCTGGCTCAGACCTGTATCCCTTAGAAGATAGAGACAAGAAGATTGTGGTTCAAAGCTAGTCCCTGCACAAGTTAGTAGGACTCTATCTCAAAAACAAGACAGCCATAGAAGTTAAGAGAATTTCAGTCTGAGACCAGTTCAGGTGAAAGTACAAAAACGTATCTGAAAAAAAAAAAACACATAAAAGCAAAAGAATAGGAACTATGCACCAATGGCTCATGTCTATAATCCTAGATATTCAGAAGGCTGAGATCTAGCTCACACAGATAAATTCAGGAGACACTTTTAAAGTTAACCAACTGGACATATGACTCAAGTGGTAAAGCAGCAGCCATGAGTGAAAAAGACAAGTAGAGTGGGAGGCCCTGAGCACCAAAAATAAACCAATAACAAGAAGGGACATGGCTAAAGCAACAGAGCAGGAGGCCCCAAAGCATAAATTCAATCTCAAATTCCACAACTGGGGAAGGGAGAGACTCAGCAGGAGCTTATGAAGATTGGATTTGAAATATTTAGAATAATCTCAGTGAGAAATCTGTTTAGTGCTCACAGAAACATACAGAGATTTTTTTAAAGCTGCATAATATCTGAAATATTATACATTCTACCTTGTCAAAGCAAGGAAATAGAGACCTACACATTTACTAACTAGTATATAAGCAATGGCTTGTCCTCTTGATTCTAAGTTAATATACCACCTTAAAACAGACATTAACAAGCTAATGTAATGCATGTATGCACAACTAAAACTATTTTTAGCCAAAGTAAAATATAGTAATTTGATTGACATGTATAGAAAAAAGGCAGTTCAGCTTACACCTAGTTTTATTTCTGAATAAAAAGTGCTCAAGATAACACATATTTCTAAGTGTCTCTAAGAAAATGATCAGTTGAATGTGAATCCCTGTGTATCTTGCAACCAAAAGTGCAAATAAAACAGTACCACACCATCCTCTATATTACTTGAAGACAATTTCAAATTACCTATAAGTAGAAAAAAAAAACCACCCAAACCATCACCAAATTCCAGTGAAGACATTTGTGAAGCCGGACCAGATGCTTTGGTCATAAGTACACAAAGACAAAGAAGGCCAAGAGCCTAATGTGACAAATGCTTTTTAATAAACCTGGGAATTCCCAACACTTCAAAGAAACATGTAAGTACGCAGAACCCAGGTGGTAGTCTTGGGGCACTTGGAGGCTGAGAGGAGGAAAAAGCAAAAGTCCTTCAAGACAAAACAGAACCACCATACAGATAAGAAATCAACTTTCACCCATCAACAACTTTTATATTAAGATTAAGTATCTATTAAATAAACTACACTTACACTATAATGCTATGAAACCTGAAATCTTATGAGACACTCCAAACTCTCAATTCTCCCCACAAATGCACAGACTAAAGATGTTTATATCCACACAAAGATAATATAACAAAGTAAAAACTGAAATGGTACAAGTGATGCACTCTCCTCTCCTCCCTACCAAAAGAAGCAGGCAGAAGAAAACTATAACACAACACTCCATATGAAATTAAATGTACTTCTACATGCACCTGGAGCTTGTGTGTGTGTGCATGTTGGAACATGTGAATGTGTGTATATATACCTTGAATCAGAAATTCTAAAACAAAAAACAGAAACAGATAAATACCAGAAAAATAAGCACTGCCTGAATACAGAAAAAAATTAAAACCCAAATATCATTAAAAGAGCAGAGAAAATACAACCAATGGGAAACCATTGCTGGATGAGGTGGTGCACACCTCAGATCAGGAAGCTAAGATAGGAGAACCTCCAGTTCAAGGGCATTCTAGGCTGTATAGCAAGACTGTATCTTGGAGAGAGGGAAATACTAAACAGAGAACAGCATGCAGTGCTTATGTGTACTGTACTATCCATACATAACATGACAAAGTTGGCATCAAAAATACCAACGCTGTTAGCGTTACAAGATTATTCTGATAATAAAAGAATAAAGATTGGCTACCACACCAGAGCCAGCTCTGCACTGGATATAAGAGACACACCTAGCATAGAATAACTGCTAAACAGAATATAAAGTGCAAAACATTAAATATAAAAAATAAAGATGAATCAGACACTGGGAAAGAAGAAGAAAGCAGAGGTTTCATTCCTTGTATTAAAGTAGAACTGAAGCTAAAATGCATTAAATTCTTTAAATTTTATTAAGAGATAATTTATCATGCTAAGTCAGTAATCAATTAAAGATATAACATTTATGTATATCCATGTACCAAAACCTGCAGCAATCCTATTTTATGAGAACATGTATTTTCCTTCAATTAAATATACTTAAATAAGAAATGCAAAGAAAAAGAAAAATACACTAGTAATAGGAGACTTTAAAGTACTACTCTCAGTATAACAATAATTAAAGACACAAGCAACACAATCAATGAGATAGGTCTTACAGTACATTTAGAATTCTCTACCTTGTTAATAGAGTTATACCCTCTTTTCAAGCACACACATGGAATGTTCACTAAATGTGATCACAGATTAAGTCACAAAGAAAACATCATTAAGTTCCACAAGTAGAAACACTACTAATCATACTTGGAATGCAATGCAATAAAATTAGAAATAACAGAGGATCTAAAAGTATTCTTTCATCTTCTGAGACCACTAAAAGGGAAAATATAAACCTAAATTACGTCTTTTCTAAAATAGTAAGATATTGTCAAAATGTACAATACACATTTGAAATAATGATAGTTTTTGTTTTTGTTTTTGTCGGTCATGGGGCCTGAACTACTGGGCCTGGGCACTGTCCCTCAGCTCTTCCGCTCAAGGCTAGCGCTCTACCACTTGAGCCACCGCATCACTTCCAGATATTTTCTGCTTATGTGGTGCTGAGAAATCAAACCCAGGGCCTCATGCATGCAAGGCAAAGCACTCTACCACTAAGCTACCTTCCCAACCCCATGATAGATCATTTTTATTGGGACAACTGTAGACATCTAAGGTATACAGATTTGATAGTAGCATGAGCTGAATGTGCTTTCCTATTGTGGTTGTGTGTAAATGAATGCTCTTGGTCTGAGGAAGCACACACTAAAGTAAGATGCCATATATACATACCTGTCTGTATTCATGGCAGTTTGAGAATTATCCAACTCGTTCTCACTTTCTTCTGACTGGCTGTTAATAGTGCCTTCTTCTCCATCATCATCTACTTCATTAAGAGCCTATCTCAATACAATAATAAAAATTACAATAACTGATTTAAATACACATTCTTCCTATTTTTTTGTTTCTTTTATTTAATTGGTCCTGGTCTTGGTGTAGGCTCTATCACTATGCCTCTTTTGCTTTTATTATTTTTCGAATACAATCTCAGAGTCTTTGCTGGAACCAGTCTGGATCATGATCCTCCTCTTTATCCTTCCAATGTTGCTGGAATGATAGGCATGAACCATAGCATAGTATCAACATTTTTATTAGTTGAGATGGGGTCTCACAAGCTTTTTTCCCAGGCTGTCTTCTCAATCCATCTCTCAAGTAGCTAGCATTACAGGTGTGAGCCATCAACTTGGCTCTTTTCAGGTCTTCCTGAGTCTAACCCTTCCATATAGTCTACAATCAACCCCTCTCAACAAATTCTACATATCAATCATCCTTTCTCTCTCTAGCATAATTTCTCTCTCTATTATCTTCAATTTGTTTCTTTCAGCTATGTGCAAATATAAGTAAACTTTCCATCTGACCCTAACCCTATCTACTATTACTTTCTTTCACCACGAAACTCCTTGGAAGTTGTTCTCTACTTGTAAACTCTTCAGCTTTGCTTCTGACTACTCTATTCAAAATCTTCTCAACAAGATAGTATTGACACATTTATTCCTAAGTCAAATCAATATTTCTATCTTTGCTTTTCCCTTACTTCTATGACTCATGAGACTTTAATGATCACTCATTTGTTTCTTTTAAAAATCTTCTTGATACATTCTTTTAATATCTCATAACTATTACACCACAATTTCTTGGATTTTCTTGTCTTCTGGCTGGCTGTTTGTTATCTCCTTTATTAGTTTTTTTTTCTACCTGCTTTTTAAACACAATGGGACTCAAGGTCTTCCTGGTCGTCTGTTTGAACCTTCTCTTCTCCCATCTGACCCATTTTCTAAATGATTTTAACTAAAGCCACAAGTGCAATTGCAAGTCAAATCCTGTTCATTTCCAAATCTCTTTCACCCAAATCTGTTTTGAGCCCTAAATATGTACATCAACTACCCAAAAGATATCCCTACTCAAATGTCTAAAATTGAACATCATAAAGCGTCTCCCACCATTCTTCCAGAAACTTCACTGCTGCCAAGATTACCTAGGACCACGAGCAGCAAGCATCACTATCTCTATTCAGTTGCTCAAGCCAGCAAATTGGATTACTCATGTTTTTCAACTATCACATCCAGACAGCCACCCAATCTTATCAACTCTACTGCCTTTTAATCACTCTCAAATGTACCTCTACCTTTTACTTTTTTCCCTACTGCCATTGCTTTGGATCAAGCTCTCACCATTCTCAGTAAGATTCCAACCAAAGTCTCCTAGTAGAGAGCTATTATCTAAATATGGTTTGTCTTCTCCAAAACCAATGACATTTAATCTCCATTATGAAATACTAAGTGGTAGGTGCAAGTGGACGGTTAAGAAAGTAATTAGTTCTGTCCTCATGAATGGACCAATCCATTCATGCAATTAATGGATAAGTGGGTCTGTTATTAACGGCCAGTTTGGCTAGGTCTCCTGCAGCACCTTGTCTCTTACCATATAGTACCACATATACCTAAGAGCTCTTCCAGAAAGGAGGCCACCATCCCCTACAGTATAACCCGTGCTTTCACTGTATTTGATGTTGGCATAATTTGTAGAGGGGAAGGGGAAAAACAAATCGTTTAAATAGGGATACAGGTGGACCCATTGCAACAATGAGATGTACAAGTCGTTATGTTGAAAAGGAACTTTACAACTTTGGTGTGTGGGGGGGGAGTAGGACTGGGGGGGGCGGGGGAGGATGGGAAGGGATGGGAAGGGGAAACAAAGGAGGAGGCTACAATGCTTGATAAGAAATGTACTCATTACCTTGCCCATGTAATTGTAACCTCTCTGTACAGTATTTTCACAATTAAAAAAAAAAGGAGGCCATCACTATATATGGTCCTTCAACTTTGACTAGAAAAATAACCCAAAGTAAACCTATTACTATTACTACTACTACTACTACCACTACTGACCCAGTCTATAGTGTTAGTAGCAACAGATAAACAGACTAAGAACCAGACCCTGTCTTAGTCTGGTCCTCCAATCCATCTTCCACACCACAATCAATCTCATTGATTCCATTCTTCTTAAAAGCCTTTAGTGGCTCTACTCTACTTCCTGAGTCCTTAGCCCTTCAAGTCTTAGCTCCTGACTACTTCTCTAACCTCAGACCTTGCCATTTCCCCAGCCCAATGTGGAAGCATACTTTATTCATCATGTATCCAATCAGCTAGTACAAGACCTAGGTGAATAATACATGATGAGTAAGTCTCACTTATTCCTATTATAAATAGAAAGGGTCCAGAGAACTTACATGATTCCCATTTCATCCTTTCTTGGTGATTCAAGGGTCTTTTTTTTTTTTTTGTCAGTCATGGGGCTTGAATTCTGGGCCTGGGCACTGTCCCTCAGCTCTTCAGCTCAAAGCAAGCGCTCTACCACATGAACCACAGCGCCATTTCTAGTTTTCTAGTGGTTTATTGGCAATAAGAGTCTCACAGATTTTCCTGCCCAGGCTGGATTTGAACCGTGATCCTCAGATCTCAGCCTCCTGAGTAGTTAGAATCATAGGCGTGAGCCACCAGTGTCCAGTGACTCAAGGTTCTTTATAACAGTACTGATTTATTTTCTGAAGTCTGGAGGTAGTCTGCTTATCTATCAGTGTCCTCTCTCCTCCCTCACAGCCATTTACTTTTCTGTACAGTCCCTGGTATATACTAAGAAGGTTTCCTCATTGTTTTAAATTTGTTATCAGTTATAAATTGAGTAAGAATTTGGAACCATCTAGGAAAATTAGTTGTATCAATAATATTACTTTGAAATTACTAACTTAATAGGCTCAGATATGATCACAGACTCTTTGCTTTGACAGAATGAAATATCCTTTATTCATGTTGCTAATACACATGTGCATGTGCATGCTCCTAGACTCTTAATGACTGAAAGTGGAATTGCCAAATAGAGAACTACCTTGTATAATTTATTGAAATAAATGTATAACTTCAGTCAAACATGTAACAATTCCATAGGCTCATACTTTAAATTGAAGATTCTCCCTTTTTCCCTGGAAGGTATAAGTAATTTAGGAAATTTCATTAGGCAACTAATAAGCCATAATTATTCCTATCAGCTTTTAATATTAAATTCTTCATGGGATTTTTGAAAACATACACTATACTATCACAGAATTCTAAATATTTTGAGTAAGACTTGGAATTAGTTTATAATATAGATAATTATTTTACTACTGTAATAGCATCCTCACAGTTTTCTAGGCAGCTACATTTCAAAAGTACCTAACAACATTTAATGAAGAACTACACCCCTGGCAGTACTCTAGGTACTTTATATAGCCTGAAACAGCTGAATGATATACATACCATCACATATATTCTAATCTTATTTGATAGGATAGGATAGGATAGGGAAGGAAGGAAGGAAGGAAGAAAGGAAGGAAGGAAGGAAGGAAGGAAGGAAGGAAGGAAGAAGGAAGGAAGGAAGGAAGGAAGGAAGGAAGGGAGGGAGGGAGGGAGGGAAGGAAGAAAGACAGACAGACAGACAGACAGACACTAAAAACACTGATCCAACTCAGGAAGATATCTTTCAAATCAACTCAAAATCAAATAGCCAGTAAACAGCAGGGTAGAAGCACAGACTCACCTGATTCCCCATGGAAAACACCTGTTGCTTCTACGATGACAGATGGTGGCCATATTATTGAGTGGCATACCCCAAATGAGAATTGTATATCTTATGTAAACAACGTGATCTTGCACAAGTTATTTAATTTTTCTGAGCCTCAGTCTCTTTATCTATTAAATGTGCATAACAGGACCTATTTCCTAAATCAGCATTCAATAAATGTTGACTATTATTATAGTCTCGTATTTTCATGAATCCAAATGTTATTCACATAAAAGTACAGTTTGTTCAAGCAAATCTAGCAACCACAATGAGCAAGTAAGACTTTAATTTGTTTACCATATGCTTATATGAACTTCATTTCAGCCTAAGAATTATGTATTTGAAAACAGGATATTACCTGGGGTTCTATGACAGATTGGATGACAGGGTCTTGATTTACCACAATGGGCCCCTCAGAGGAATCAGGAGCCATTGTGACATTTGGAAACCCTGCAGAATGAAGTAAGTGCTGATGATTTTGTTTCAGTTAACTAAACTGATTTCACAACTTCTGGGCTGCACAGTTTTTGTCATCATGCAATCTCAAGTAGTTTCTAATAGCAGTGCACATTTATATAGTGATATATATCAGCCATTTAAAATCCTGATGTACATATACACTCAATATATATTCTATTATTATTTTACAAACCAATAAACTAGTCTGTAAAATAATTATAAAGACATTAAGCAACTGTCCCACAGTTCAACACTAATTAATGCTGAGACAGGCTTCAGACAAGATCAGGCATGTTCAGGGTGGTATAGCCATACATAGGACTAGGATTCAAACTTTATACTAAAAATGAATCATGTTGTTTTGAGATATTAAAATAACTTGGTTATATACATTAAAATAAATCATGTACATCTGAAAAAAGGTAAAATGTCTCTTAACAAGAAACTAAAGTTGCTTTAGATTTCATATAGATTTACTAAAATTATATAAAAACACAAGCATTTTCAGTATATGTAACTTTAATATTATAAACTATTAAGTTACAATTTTAAAATCATGAAATTCTTCATATTATACCATATTCTAGTATCTTTCTTTAGTTGAATGATTTATAATAATCAATAGTCTTAGTAAAGAGCAAACATTATTAGACCTCTAACCTTAATAGCCTATCTTAGAATTATTGTAATACAAATAAACTTTGAACACATGTAATATAAATAATACTGAGGGCCATACTGGCCACACAGTAAATCGTAGGGTCTGGCATCTTGTCTTCATGCTAAGGGATGGAAATGCCCTGCCTCCAGTTACTGAATCTGTCAGTCCAGTGCCTGGAACTGGGATTTCCTGTGGACCTGCCCCCTGCTCAGATCCTATTTAGGCCTAACCAGCCACAATGATACCAGACCACATGTGTCTCCATGATCATCCTGGGTCCTGTCTCCTGGCTTGTCTCCAGCCATCATGGAATCCCAATACAGCTCTCCATCGGAGCTGAATTGGTTTGTTGGTATTGTTTTTGTTCTTTCTTTCCTTTCTAGTCTGATTCTTAACCATGTTATGTGTATTTGGAAGCTGCAGGCCTTTGTAACAACTGGCTGTCTGTAGCCTGCTAACTATGTAAAAAAGACTCCAATATTCCATCTACCTAAATGTAGCTTCTGGGAAAATTCACCTTACAACAATACAATGCCTAAAAAAGAACTTTAAAATAGTCATAATAGTCACCTGTGGATTAATAACAAAAAGAACTTTTGCTTGAATTGAATACTTACCTGTGCGTCTCCGAGGAACATCAACAAACAGATCTTTTGCCTCAGCTATCAAATGATCAGATTTCTCCAACACATCCTGCATCTGATATTGATCAGAAAGAATCTAGACATGTGTTAATGACAAATATTATTCAGAAAAAATATATTTCCTTTTCAAATCACAAAAGACCACACAAAGATACAAAGTATAACATAAACATAGATCACTGTCTTCCTAAAAATCTATCAATGGCAATGTCCTTAAGCACCAGTAGATGGGGGTATTACAATAATTAATGATTTTCAGATGCATGGATGCAATTCCAAATAATCCATATTAATTTTGTAAAACAGTACACACATAAACACAGACATACAACAACAAAATAAGTTTCACTTAACCTTTCTATATGAAAACTAGCTTTTTACTTTTAATTTCTATTCCACTGTTTTTTAAATGATGGTTATAACCCAGTAACTTGATCTTATAATCCATTAATAAATTTTGATAGACAGTTTGAAAAACACACATTAAAAATAAGAATTTCTGAGCCATTAACTCAAGAGATGTTTCAACCACTAAAATAATCTTATAATCTACTAGTAAGACATAATTCAAGACTTTGAAAACATGGTATTAAAATGTGATGCTTCTGGAAATAACAAAATGCTGAAATAAGGATACAGGTTGACCCATGGAGATGAGGGGGTTGAGGAGGTGGGGAGGGAAGGGATGGTAAGGGAAAAACAAAGGAGGAGGTAACAATGTTCAATAGGAAATGTACTCATGACCTTACTCATGTAACTGTAACCCCTCTGTACAGTATTTTTACAATAAAAATATACAAAAAATGTGATGCTTCTATATTTATAAAAAAGTAGGTATTTTATCATTAAGATATAGGAACTCAAAATACACCATTATAGTTGTACCTCTGTTTACATACTTTCAACCTAGGGACTGCGAAAACTGTCAGCAAAGTCAGAAGCTAGACTAAAAGCAAATATAAAGAATCTCAAAAGTCCATTTTCTAACACTGACTCAAATCAATGAATATCTGGTAATATTCATATCAAAATGTTTCTAATTATATCATGTGACCTTGGTCTTTAAGGACACAGAAAAAAATGAGTCATATTTTTACTTTTCCCTTCTATATAGCCAAGGTCAGCTAGCTCAGTTAGTAAGAAAAAAGTCTTGAACATGTTCCTTCCATAAAGAGTAGGTGTTAGAATTGTATAAAGCCAAGAACACATTTGGAGCCAGAAGACTAGGCTTCTAGGCCTACACAAAAAACACAGCAAAATTCAGCCTCCTTAAGTTTACTCTCCTAATAGATATGACCAACCTGCAGGTAGTTATAAAGGTATGTACACATTGAAAACCTGTATAGTACTCTAAAGATGTTTGAGAATGTTGTTACAACATAAATTATATTATCCCATGAACTAAATTTCTATTCCTATTAGGACACCTTGCAAATACACGAAATTAAGAACTTAGGAAAGAATGTAAATAAATTGTTATAATCTATCACCATACTAGAAAAATTATACGTTTATTTCCTAATGACAGTTTTGATCAACTATTTCAAAAAGCACTTACCTATCAAAATAAAGACATGAAACTGACAGAAACAAGAATTTTACTACTCATATTGATAACAACACCAATTATAATGGGGCCAAGTAAAGATATTATTCTGCTAACCTCTGCTTCCTGGGACAGAGATGGTTCAAATAGCCAAAGATTAGTATATTAGCTAGCCTTCCATTGCTTTCTCTAACAATACTCATTCTCTTGGAAATTAAACTGTTTCTGCAAGTCCATCCATAGATATTACTACTTTAGATGAGTTTAAGGACCACAAGCTTATGCTTAATGGTGCACATTTTGGATTTTCAAAAAGGATGAGTCAAGGTCCCTGCAAAAGAAATTACTGTAAAATGCCTCATTTTTGCCCTTTTATTCCATGGTAATAGAAAGCAGACAGAATTCGAAAACAGGACACTTGGTAGAGTTATTACAATTTTAGAATTTCTGAAATCCTTATGAGTTTGATAATTTATCTGAGTTTGATAATGTTCTTGAATCCCATGGCCTGGGTGAATCACATAACAAATAAAATCTAAAAATGACTTTGGCCAAAGAAATTTTCTCTATATTAATCTAGGAGCCCAAATCCAAAGGCATGAATCCTAGTAGTTTTAATGTATTACAAGTCAGCCTCCGCGGTAGAGTGCTCGCCTTGAGCTGAAGAGCTGAGGGACAGCGCCCAGGATCAGAGTTCAAGCCCCACGACTGACATAAATAAATAAATAAATAAATAAAAGCAAAATATTTTAAATAAAAAAAATAAAAGTCAGCCTCCATAATTAAGCTGATAGTGGCTTTTTCCTTTGGTCTCATGTCATCCCTTGAATTGACATTACAAATTTAATAACATCAAAACAAAAACTGTACCTATCCTTTGACTCAGTCATTTTCTTTTCTTTCTTTTTGTTCAGCGCTGAGGATTAAACTGAGAGCTTCATACATGCTAGCTTAAGTGCTTTACTGCCGAGCTAAGACCCCAGCCTTTAACTCAACAGTTCTTTTAATAATTTATCCTAGAAATAAGCAAGTGCTCCAAAATACATTCAAGAATCTTCATTACATTATTTAAAGCGACAAAGTAGGGAGCAATCTGTGGCTGGCAAACATTCTTACTGATCTACCAATAGTTTTTCATCTAGTTTGCATTTAACAGAATCCCCATATTTTATCCACACATCCATCTACGTTTCCCAGCCATTGTTCCAGGAAGGATAGCCATGCACTCACTTGCTGGCCAACAAGACACACACCCAAACTTCCATAGCATGAACTGTGTTTTCCTTTCTTCCGGCTTACATGTAACAAGGAAACTGCAATGGGCTTTTTGTACTCAACAGACAAGAAGACCGGCAGTAAGAACTTCAAGTCTTTCTATCAGCTATCAACTACTTGTGAACTCTTTCATGAGGCCAAACTAAATTTCTATTTTGTTAAAGTCAATGTTTTAAAGACCCCTTCCCCCACCAAAAAAACCAACTATACTCTATAATACATAACCCAAGTTTCCACCAATAGAATACTAGATCATTAAATGACAGTAAATCTATACTACTTGGTCATTCAAAAGAAAAAGTAGATTTCTCAATAGTGACTTTCAAGATGTTAAAAGATAACCCCACTGAGTGCTGGTGGCTCATGTCTTAACTATAGCTATTCAGAGGCTGAGATCTGAGGATCATGATTCAAAGCCAGCCCAGACAAGAAAGTCTGTGAGCCTCTTATCTCCAATTAAGCACTAAAAAGCCAGAAGTAGAGCTGGGGCTTCAAAGACAGAATGCTAGCCTTGAACAAAAAGCTTAGAGATAGTGCCCAGGCCCTGAGTTCAAGCCCCAGGACTGAAAAAAAGGAAACATCTAAATCTCACTAAGAGCAGAGGTTTTCAACCTGTGTAGCACATTAAAATTACACAGAAAACTGTCTTTAAAAATATCTTAATGGGGACAAACCCTGGGTTAAGTAAATCAGAAACCTTAAGTACAGCAATCAAATACAGTTTTATTTTTAATGGAGTCTCTCAATCATGATTAATCCTAAAGTGCAGCCAGGGTTGAATCTATTATAGCAGTAGAGCAGGAGAAAGCAGCATTATCAAGAAAAGGCTTGAAAATTCAATCTCTCTCTCATAACTCTTCTACTTCTACAATCTTTCTCTCTTAGCTCTTCTTTCAACTCCTACTTCTACGCATCCATGAGAAATTCAAGATATAGTCAGTAGCCACTAGAAAGTGAAACAACAAATATTTGATGCTCTGCAAGGGTGTAGATTTTTTTCACATAGATTTATGGTTTTAGGCCTTTCAATGAGAATTAGCCTCTAACATTTTAAATAAATGTTACTTGTCCAAGAACTACATACCTGTAAAGAAGTATTCTCTCTCAATCCATTGTCCTTTTCTCAAGCTCATGTGAAAATTTATTTGGGAGATACAATCCTTCCTGAAGATGTGTATGTAACAGTGCAATTTTATTATTTTATTAGGAACACTAATAAATTAATTAGTCAGCCAGCCAAGTGCCATAAGCTTGCACCTGAACAAAGAACTACAAAGCACATTCCTTTACAATTATTTCAGCTCAAATTAAAGAAAGACTGTGTGTGTGTGTGTGTGTGTGTGTGTGTGTGTGCTAGTTTCCTCTTGTACTGTTTATCCCTGCATATCTGATTACTTGTCCAAATACCCAACATATGGCAAAAGGTTAAGCCAAAAAGAAATGGCATACTAGCTAGTTGGACAGGCACACAACATTCTATTCTAGTCTATCCTATTCTACTTTTGCTAAGTAATCTGACAGCATTACAACTGAACTGACAAAAATAATTGTGGCAATTTATGTATATAAGGTACTAATTAAGCACAAAGGACTGTACAGATCACTTTATAGGTACTATATCATTAAAATCTCACAAAAATAAAAACATCAATTTTAAATTTTAAAGGCTGAGAATTAAATATTAGTTTAAGTTACATAGCTACTTAGCTGTAGAATAAAATTTTAACCCATCATACTAGACTACAATCATCATTCCACTGCTCTTTTACAAAGTTCACATGCAGACCACTGTATAAGAATATTAGAGTCACTTAATGTGAAAGAAATTGAGGGAAAAAGACAGAATCCAATTATCACTCTTTGAACTCTATTAATAATGCATTTTAGCAATACCTCCTTCATGATAGACAATCTTCTTTTCTCGAGATTCAAAGTTTCTGGTTTCTGTTTCTTCCATTTTCTCTTCAAAGCTTTTTCTTGAAGTTCCCAGTGTACTAATGCTCTATTCTTTGACTTGTGGATTTCATGACGTCGTATCTAGATAAAAAAGAAAAAAATACAAAGGAATCTTCTAAGTAACAAAGACATTTCCTACTCAGGATAGCCTAATGTAGTTTGAAGCCAGCCTGTGCAGGAAAGTCCATGAGACTCTTATCTCTAATTAACAGTGGCACTGTGGCTCAAAGTAGTAGAGTGCTATAGTACCTTGAGCAATAGAGATGAGGGAGATAGCCCAGGCCCTGAGTTCAAGCCCCACAACCAATAAAAAACAAAACAAAACAACAACAAAAAACCTAATAGTCACATATTAAAGTATCCTAAATCACAAAAAATAAAGATGATATTGTTTAGGACAACCAAAATATTGTGAGTATGAACTAGATATTTTCAAAAAAATTATTTTTACTTGTGTTAGACATAGTGACATTTTTGACATATTATTTTTTAGGTCTATACAACTATAGGAAAATTATTTCTAGGTAAACTGAATATTACTGTGACTACAGATAAAAAATAATGTAGTATGTATTCATCTAAAAGACAGGTATTTGGATAAATGACAGAAATTATTTGCTACAGAGATTAACTAATTTAGACATTACACACTATACACATGTATCAAAACATTACAGTGCCCAATAAATATGTATAATCATGTTAATTAAAAATAGTTAATATTGCTGGGTGCTAGTGACTCACACCTGTAATCCTAGCTACACAGGAGGCTGAGATCTGAGGAGTGCAGTTCAAAGCCAGGCCAGAGAAGAAACTCTGTGAGATTCTTATTTCCAATAATCACTAAAAGGCCAAAAGTGGAACTGTGGCCCATCTGGCAGAGCACCAGCATTGAGCAAAAATGCTAAGGGATAGCACTGAGTTCAAGACCTAGTACTGGAGCAACAACAACAAAAAGTTAACATTTTAAACAAAAATAAATAAATAAAAACCTATAGAAAAAAAAGAAGTATTTGAAATAGGATAAAAGGCAAAGTAAGTTTCCTTTGGTGCCAACAGCCTTCCCAACATCAAATCATATTTAACATTCCTAAGATCGCCAAGCTTTCTTTACAAAGTGTGACAAGCACCAACCTCATGAAGTAGCATAATACAGGAAGGATTTTCTATATGCTCAAAGAGAGCAACATTATGACAGTAAGCAGAGTGGCTGGTAAGCCTACTAAGCTGATTTTCTGAAAAAGGCCACATTACAAAGAAGACTGTAGAATCCAACTGTAGCTCTACAAGAATGCTAGCTATTAAAAGATACAAGAATTTGAACTAAGAGGAGATAAGGAAAGAAAGGGACAAGTGATACATTTCTAAGCTTGGATTTTAGTTCTGTTATGAAGACAATGAAATCATGAAGTATTTTCCCCCCAGTCATGGGGCTTGAACTCAGGGCCTGGGCACTATAACCCTCAGCTCTTTTGCTCAAAGCTAGTATTCTACCACTTTGAGCCACAGCGCCACTTCCGGTTTTCTGGTGGTTAATTGGAGATAAAGGGTCTCACAGATTTTCCTGCCTTTTGAACTGCCTTGAACAGCAATCCTCATATCTCAGCCTCCTGAGTAGCTAGGCATGAGCCACCAGCACTTGGATTGAGGTAATTTTTTTAAGCCAATTAAGATTTCAATAAGAGGTAGGGAAACTGTCCTAAGTAAGGAACATAACAGGAACAAAACAGAGACTGAAGTCCAAATGTAGAAATATACATGGAAAAATTTTCAAAGGATAACTTGCTATACTGACTAGATCAATATATTTGCAGAAGAAAGTAATAACATAATGATGAAGACATCGATACATGAAAAAGACAGATATCTACAAAGCAATTATAAACTTCAGAAATTTGAACTGTAAACTAAACTTATCTAATAAAATTCTTAAAACAAACTTGTATGCCAAGGAAAAATTAGAAGGTCCAGAAGATATGCTTCTAGGACATGATTGGCTTCTATACTAAAGGTAAAAAAATCTAATATCAAATCAAACCTTTAATATATGACTTAATTTTTAATACTAAACTTACAAGATCTTCAGGAGTTGCTCGGTGAACTGTTAGATCATTTACAGTATTCTGCAAAAATAAATAATAAATTTTTTAAAAGATGATCTTCAGTTTATAAAAGCCAGGTTCCTCATGAAAAATTAACAGTTACTGAAATATCTGAAAGTTTAAAATATTGAAATAGTGAAACCAATTGAAAATTGATTCAAAATCCTGACACCAAAAATCACTTCTTTCCCGGAACTGTATTCTAACATAAATATTAACATGATTACTTTTAGGTATCCTATAAAAAATAACAGACGATTTTTAGGAGTCTTACAGATAATATTCAATTATATTAAAGGAATAAGGATAATAGTATATATTCAAAATGAGAAAGATTAACCCAAATTGTCATTTTCAAATTGTATTTCATAGAACCCCGGGATTCCATGAGGCCCTTGTAAAGATTCCTAACAGAAAGTGTGATCACCATAAAAATGTTCAATCATGGCAATGAAAATTGTTTTTAATAGTGCTAACAAAATTCAGGCATTCAAAAGTTATTTGGAATCAATCCTCATGAAAGAAAAAAAAGCATAATTTCATCAGTTCCTTTATTGATTAAAACTATATATTCTTGAAATTGCCTTTAAATTTAATTTATAAGCCATTTAAGAAAATGTCTTAACTATTTTAATAAAAATAGAATTACTCAGTTTGACCTCTCCTCATTTACTTTTCACTCCAAAATGACTTATCACTACTTTCAAAGCCTCGTGTACCTTCAAGAAACAAAAATTTTTCCCAGCACTGGAGAGAAGACAAAGAGGAAATAAGGAAAGTTTTTACTGCATTTCAAGTTAAAAAGTTTTAATCAAATTTAGGCAATAACTACTTATTAGTAGACAGAACTTCCAACATACCCTGAAGGTGAGAATACTTAATGTTATCATAAGTATTACAGGTAATCAAATAGCAACAAAACAATTTGAACACAGAAGTCTTTTGCCCCACTTCCAAAAGGTGTCAGTTTGATTGCTAAAATGGTTAGTTGCTACCCAGGAATTTGCAAGTCCAAAAGAATCCCTTAGAGTCGTTATACTCCACACTGGAAAGTAAAGCAAGCTACAGACTAATGTCTGAACTAAAAAACTAGAATACAAAAGTTTTTGTTGTTTTTGTTTTTTTTACAAAAATCCCCTTTGTAAAGCCAGATTACATTCAGATTAAAGCATCATATGTTCTAGGCACTTAGCAAAATCTTATACTCAGCTAGTCTCTGGTGTAAGGAGCAAGAAAACAAGCATCAAAAAAAGAAAGAAAAGGGCTGGGAAGGTGGCTCAGTGGTAGAGTGTTTGCCTTGCATGCATGAGGCCCTGGATTCGATTCCTCAGCACCACATAAGCAGAAAAAAAAAGCCGGAAGTGGTGCTGTGGCTCAAGTGGTAGAGTGCTAGCCTTGAGCTGAAGGGCTGAGGGACAGCGCCCAGGCCCAGAGTTCAGGCCCCACGATCAGACCAAAAAAAAAAAAAAAGAAAGAAAGAAAAGAAAAGAAAACAAGCATTACCCACTTTTTCAGTCAAAATGCCACCCACATAATTATGGTATCACTGGTTGCTAAGAAGGGGTTGTCACTGATAATGATATTTATAAACTGATTTGTGACATAGGAACTCCTTTGTACAACTACAAGATAATGAAAATATATATTTTTTAAGCAACAAAAATCTTTCAGGGGGGGCTGGGAAGGTGGCTCAGTGGTAGAGCGCTAGCCTTGAGCTGAAGAGCTTAGGGACAGCGCCCAGGCCCAGAGTTCAGGCCCCATGACTGGACCCCAAAAAAAAATCTTTCAGGGTTCGGAGATACAAGGTAACTAGAGATGTCTTCAAGAAATGAGTCCTCAATCAAAGTGGAGATGATGGACATATTTTTTAGGACAACAGTCCCCATCCCTACTAAGATTAATTCTTCAAAGAAGCTACAAGTCACATCCCTTGTATGTATACCCTTAAAAAAAAAAAAAAAGAATTCTGCTCTTCCCTCCAAAACTAGGGTTATAACATGCCCTGTCATACCCTATTATATACTGAGTCCCTTTCAGAATGCCCTCCTGAGTTACTAAGGCCATGCCATCACATTGGCTACTCCACAGTAAGGCTGCATTGTTTACTATGTCAAGACTTACATCCCATTCTTGCTTCACTGAAGTTTTCTTCTTCTTTGCCTTCAGCACTTTCCTGCCACCTCCTTGGGGACCATAACGATTCACTCTGACCATTGGCATCTAAAAATAATAACAAACTGCTAGTGCCTAAGACAATAATTATGCATCACAAGAGTGTGAGAAAACATCATAACAAATGATACCATTCTTAAAATGCTGGAAGAAATTAAGCATGATGAAAGAAATGCCCTATCAAAATATTTGGTTTTCTCATTTTAAAAGTATTAGAAGCTGATACTGATAATCATAATAAAAGAGGAAGTCTGTAACTCAGATTTGTTTAATAAAGAACTCTCCAAATACAGAATTACTTTAACTAGAGAACTAGGACTGTGTTAGTCTTTGCTATTAGTACAAAATTCACTATTAGTAGAAAAATGCCACTATAGACTAAGAACATGAATACAAAGATAAGGAAAGGCAGGGAAAAAGAGAATTGGAGTTTTTATTTATAAACTCTAACATTAAAATAATTACCAGGTACATATACACTTACCTGAAAAGTATATAAACTTGCCTGGACACATTAGGCTCATAACTCTGAAATATGTTTCAAATAATACTAAATGGAGATTATTGACTTTAACTGGAATTTGTACATTATCAAAGTTAGCTTGCTATGGACACTGAATATAACATTATAAAAATTAGAGAAAGACTGGTAGTCCTTAAAAACCAAATCAAAGCCTGTGTGTGTGTGTGTGTGTGTAACACGTATGTGGCTTCTACTCCAGGATCTACCAAAATAATGACAGAATTTTCCAGTTGATTTTATTTCCAATTAATCTAAACAAAAATTCTAGTATTTTCCTCTAACATTTTACTTTTTTTTCTTTTTAAGTCCTAGTGTTTGAATTCGGGACCTTGCTAGTCAAGCATGCTACCTCTTAAGGCACATACTCAAACTCTTTTCACTTTAGGTATTTTTCAGATAGAATCCCGAACTTCTTTGCCTAACTTTAAACCACACTCCTCTTACCTATTCTTCTAAAGTAGCTGAGAGTACAAGAATGAGCCACTGCACCAGGCCTGTTGTTTGAGATGAAGTCTTGCTAACTTTTTGTCCTGGCTGGCTTTGTATTATGATCTTCCTGATCTACACACCTCACTAGTGGCTGGAATTAAAGGTGTGGGACCTTATACCTTGTTTCATTTTGTTTTATACCTTGTTCTTATTTTGTTTTATAATTGTAATGATGGATATCAATATTGTGGCAATGGTTAACAGTGGAATCAGCTAAGATATATTAAATGCTTACTATCAACCAAAATATTATTTGTCCCAAGCTCTTTAAACATATTCCTTTTAATGTTCATTGTAAGTTCAAAAAGTATTTTCTATGTATTATTCACATTTCAGATAAGAAAACTGAAGGACAAAGAATTAACAAACTCTGAAGTTGGCAGAGACACAAAGCACATTTTAAAAGACATGAAATATAATAGAACTGAGATTCTACAGGAACCAATGAATTTATGGTGAGTTGATTTTACAACAAGGTTTCCAAAAAGAATAGTGTTTTTAATAATTGCTACTGGAACAACTTGATATTCATATGAAAAAGAATAAAGGTGGACTACTACCTCACATCATACAGAAAATTTAGCTTAGAATAAATCATTTGGCTGAGGATGTAGCTCAGTGGCATAGCATCCATGAGGTCCTGAGTACAATACCTACTGCCATACATACACACACACACACACACACACACACACACACACACACAGAATTACATATTTAAACCTAAGAGAAAAAAGCCTTAGAAGAAAACAAGTGTACAAATTTATGAACCTTGCTGGGTACTAGTGGCTCACATTTGTAATCCTAGCCACTCAGGAGGCTGAAATCTGAGTGTCACAATTCAAAGCCAGCCCAGGCAGGAAAGTCCACTTCCAATTAACCACTAGAAAACCAGAAGTGATGCTGTGGCTCAAAGTAGTAAAGCACTAGCCTTGAGCAAAAAAGCTTAGAGACAGTGCCTAGGCCTACAGATCAAGCCCAGAACCAAAAAAAAAAAAAAAAAGTGCCAGAGGACAATCAAGAAAACTAAAAGATACTGGGCATGAGTGGCTCATGCCTGTAATCATAGCTAGTCAAGAGATTGAGATCTGAGATCATAGCTCAAAGTCTGCCTAGAGAGGAAAGTCTGTGGGACTTTTTTCCACCAATTAACCACCAAAAAACCAGAAGGGAAGCTGTCCCTCAAGTGGTAGAACACTACACTAGTCTTGAGCATAAAATTTCAAGAACAGTGCCCAGGTTCTAAGTTCAAACCCCACAACCAACACACACGCATGCACACACACACACACAGAGTGTATCCCCAAACAATAGAATATTACTTGGTAATAATAATGAAGTGTTGATATGTTCTACAGCAGACATACCTTAAAAGTATCAACTATTGAGAAAATCTAAACACAAAGGCCACATACTGAATGATACCATTTAAAGAGAAGTTCAAAATAGGTAACTGCATAAAGACATAAAGTAAATTAGTGGTTGCAGGAAGGAAGAAATAGAAAGTGATTGCTAATACGTATAGAGTTTCTGTTGGGAGCACTTAAATGTCCTGAAATTAGACAACAGTGATGGCTACACAATTCTATAAATATACTAACCCTTCTGAATTTTATGCTTAACAGGATGTATTTTGGGCAGGTAAATCATATCTTAATAAATCTGTTTAAAAAGTATAGAAAAATATAGCAATTATCCAAGGAAACGGAACTAGTGTATATTAGCCACCTATATCTTTAACTACTTAGATCTACTACTTACCATACAAAAACATGAGAATCATAATAGTATCTGTAAATCTGTTATAAATTATGCATCTTTAAAATTATATTAAGTTTGACAGGAAAAACAAAATATAAAAAGTATCCTCAATCACATTATAATCTATGCCTTATTAATAAAATACTTATGTGTATATATGAGGCAAATACTATCTTGAAACAGAATACAGCATAGAGTACAATCTGGAATCAAACTACCTGGCTCACATCTCAGCTTTGCCACTGACCCTAAATGAGACTAAACAGGTAAGATGTTTCAAAACCCCTATCTAAAACATATTATGTCCTTTTTAAATGTTGATATCAGTAATAACAATCATTAATTTCCTTCCCAAATGAGAAAAATAAAGCTTAAAGAATATAATTACATTGATCAAAGTGATACAAATAAAAAAGAAGAGAGAAGGGAACTGCCGCTCAGAAATCAAGTCTGACTGACTGTAAAGTACATGCTAGAAAACTTTGCTAAAATTGGGCTAATGCTGCTAGGTTTGTTATTTTCTAAACTTGCTGCAATCAACTTATGTAGCTCTACAAAAAAATTTTAAGTTACAAGCTGGGCGCCGGTGGCTCACGCCTGTAATCCTAGCTACTCAGGAGGCTGAGATCTGAGGATCACAGTTCAAAGCCAGCCCGGGCAGGAGAGACCTTGAGACTCCTATCTCCAATAAATCCCAGAAAACTGGAAGTGGCGCTGTAGCTCAAGTGGTAGAGCACTCGCCTTGAGCTGAAGGGCTGAGGGACAGCGCCCAGGCTCAGAGTTCAAGCCCCACGGTGGACAAAAAAAAAAAAATTTTAAGTTACAATAGTTATTCAGAAGCTAATATTCTATAGTCCTCCATCATGAAAAACAGTCATGATTCAGACACATAAAAAGGCTATGAGTAGTCAAAGCAGCTGTGAAAATGCCCATATGCTGATTTTCTTTCATAGCAATGAAAGGTCTTCAATACAGCAAGTTCAAAAATTAAGGCACAGCAGAATTTTTATCATTATTATTTGCATACTAATACACTAATTTGTATACTAATAATGGCTTCTGCTGGCAAATATAAATAACATAACCAAACAAAGAAGGGGGTGTTGTTTTTGTTTCTTGCTTATTTTGAAGTTTGGGGTTTGAACTTGGGGGCTATACAGCCTAAGCCACACCTCCTAGAAAAGTTATTTAAGCATAGATACAAAAATCAGTATAAACATTTGACTAAATGTCTAACTATTGAGACTTTATCAATGTTAATATAAATATTACATTCACTGAAATCATACTCATGTGACATACACAAATACTAAAGCCAAGATGTGCCCCTGTTGCTATGACTTCACTTCAAGTAAGCCTACTATAACAGCAACTGCTTAGGATGTCCACCTTTCTTGTTCCAGGTGAAAACCTGGTTTCACTCTTGTTCCTTTTTGTCCTAATCACAATCTATTCACTCTCTCCCTAAAATCTCTCTCCCATCTATCCACTCCTCCTCACTTCTATTAGGAATATTTTTGTCCAGGTTCTCATTTTTTTTTCCCCAGCCGGTTTCCCTTTCACTCACTCATTCATCTATTAAATCAGAAAACACTTTGGAAGTACTTGCTAAAAGCCAAGCATGTATGGAAGTGGGGGGGAGGGGGAGAATGTTCAAGGCAAGAGACACTGGCATAGTCTGAGAAGTTCTGTTTGACCAGGTGACAGGCTAAAGGACAGGCTCTTCAGTGAGGAAGAGGTCATGGCCTTGGGAGCCACAGCAATGTAAGCACTATCCCACAGGAAGTCACCGTAGAAGCAAAGCAAGCTATGGTGGGCCTCTGGCAAAACCACCCTGTGGGAGACTGACCCAAGAGAAACAAGAACGCCTTCTCCACATTGTCCCTCTCATCAATCCTATCCAGATATGACAAAAATCCCAACCATTAACTTCCTTCCTCTTGAAGAGTTTAATGACATCCCGGTGTAGAAAGAATCCTTTCCAAGCTTTCCTCCCAAGTGATCCAATGGACCTTTCTTTCCAGTGTTTGCGGGTTTTTTCTTCTTTCTCACAAATCCCATAAATGCTAGGGCCAAACTCAATTTCCCGGACAGTTCCAATCATTCTTCTTCCTCTGTTTACCTCGTTCTTAGACTTACACCTTTTCCCTACGACTTTACTCCCAGGCCCCCTCAAAACTCACTTCTTTCTTAGAAGCCTCATCCTAACATCCACTAGTTTAAATGACTACACCCAGGACGCTCTAACCACAGACAAAAACCCACTGAAAGCTACACTAGCGATTCCTAGGTGGGGGCCAAGGCGGCCACACTCGGCGCGCATGCGCCGTGCCGTGCCCAGGGAAAGCGCACCCGAAGCGCACCCAGAACCGGGCCGCGGTCAGGTCCAGGGCGCTGAGCACCCTCGACCAGTGCTTGGATCCCCGACGAACACCGAGACGCCACCCTGTTCCTCCCAGCCCTGTGTAGTCCCAGCACCTAAGGCTCAACTTCGCCCCTCAACCTGCCTTGTCGTTTTCCCTCTGCTGCCTCCACAGCGACTAAAATTTCAGACTCCAGATCCGAGGAGCGCGCCACAGATTAAGGCAATCCGCGGCTTCCGGCTTGTTGCCTGGGTGACCAGAGCCCCGCCCCGCGCCTCACCCTTGCGTATTTCCGGCAAGTCCGTTGCGCAGGCGCACTGGCTCTCCAGCGCTCTTCAATGAACTCACTGCGGTCTTTAAGGCAACACCTAGAGAATTCTCCACCACAAATATGTTACCGTTCCCACCAGGCTTCATCTATCGAACTTTTCCATTCACTTTTTTTTCTCTATTATTTAAAAATATTTGCCACCACCTACCTGCGTATCAGAGACTATGCTAGTTTCTATGGGATCCACAAACAAGCAAGATCCCTGCCCTCTGGAAGCATAGTAGCAGAAGCTAGCATTGGCACAAATGTAAAATTAAACAGGCATGTCTAGTAAGAAGGAAGCATACCAACCAGACATTTAATTTATAGGAACATTTCAGTCACTCAAGAATGCTGAGATTACAAAGAAGAGTATGTCCCCAGTATTTTTGCAGAGGGAATTGAATGTTCCCTCTGTGTGTATGGCAAATTCAAGGCAAGGGAAGAAATTCAGTGTGGAGTTGAAAGAATAGTGGGTGGCTGGAGTAAAGGAAGGCTGGCCTGATAGACTGGAGCCAAGGCAGGCGGGACTGCATAGAACATGATAAGCACTTCAGTCAAAGCAGAGTTAATTTGCTCTAAAACAGCTTACTCTAGCCCCAGGCTTTCTACTGTTAAGTAGTATCTGTAACTTGTGTATTTCTGAATGCAGGAGCTTGCCTTTAGTGGTTTCCATTCAACTGAGGCAATTTGCTGTAAATATATTTATGGTTAATCAATATAATCTCATTGTTTATGTCCTCAGCTTCCTGACCCTGAGTTGCTGAAATCACTTGGCAATCCATCAACACTGGTCATCTATCTTTTCTAAGTGCATTCACTCTTGTAGCTGAACCTAGCAGAAGAAAGTATTCATCCATGCTGACTTTAAACTCATAATTGCTGATTTTAAGTGGAACCTTAAGGATGTTTGAATATCCTATTAAAGATCACTCCTCTATTGAGTCTCCTAGATGATAGTTTTATATTTTTCTCTCATTTTCGATGTCTTCTTCTATCCTCATTCCAGCCAATGACTCTGCTTCCTACTTCATTGGTAACATTGAATTCATCATAAGAGAACTACTATAACCTTCCATCACTACTTCAAATGTTTTATCAGCATTTTTTTTAATCAACAGACTTCAACTTTACCTTCATGTTCAGAAGTTCAATTAACCATGAGCACAGGATATATGAAGGAAACTATATTAAGGTGCACCAAGTTTCTCAAAACCAGTGATAAATTGTAAAAATCATAAGAACAACCAGAGAAAAAGTAGTCAGATACACAGACAAAAAAGAATATTAATTTATTATTAGAAATAAAGCAAGTAAGTAGAGCACTAGCTTAGCTATATCAAAAGGAAAAAAGAAACTTTTGACCTAGAAGTTTGGGAAAAATTTCTTTAAAAATAAAGATGAAATAAAGATTCTTTTCACACAAATAGAAACTGATAGAATTTATTAACAGTACACACCTTACTAATATTACAGATTTCTAGATGTTAAAGAAGATCCTTCAAGCAGGAGAATTGTGTTAGAAATTTTAATCTGTATAAAGAAATAAAGATCATTAGAAATGCTGTTTGGATAACACATATAAGATTTATTTTAATCTCATTAAATATGCAGTCTTAAAATATAATAAAATGTATTATGAGATCTATGATATATGTAAAATAAGGTATTGTGCAATAGCATGAAGGACTAATAGGAGAATACTATTTTGAAAAACTATACTATTCTTGATGTAGTAAAATATCATTTAAAGGACTACTGTGATAAACTAAATTTTTGTTTTGTAAAACAACTACTAACATCATTTAAAATCTTACTAGAAAGATAAATGATAATAAAATACTTGATTAATGTAAAAGTCAGATAAAAGCAAAAAATTAATAATAGAACATTATACAAATAAGAAATAGCAAGATAATAAACTAATATCAAATAACATATTAAATGTGAATGATCTAAACACCCTACTTAAAGGCAGAGATTATCAAGTTATATTTTTAATTCAGCCTAGAAAAACAAATGCATTAAATATAAAGGCACAAGTAAATTTAAAGTACAGCTGTGGGAAAAGATATGTTATGCTAAAACTAATAAAATGCTATGTTAATATCACACAAAGTAGATTTCAGAACAAAGAATATGCTAAAGGTAGAAAAGGCCATTTCATAATGGTAAGGAAAATACTACTCAAAAGGACATAACAGGCCAGACACTGGTGTCTCCTGCCTGTAATACTGCCTACTCAGGAGATTGAGATCCGAGCATTGTGGTTAGAAGCCAGCACAGGCAGGAAAGTCTATGAGACTCTCATTTCCATCAGAAAGTGGAGTGCTGTGGTTCAAATGGAAGAGTACTTAGTCTTTGGCAAAAAAGCTCAAGGCCAGTGCCCAGGCCTAGAGTTCAAGCCTCTTGAGTAGCTAGTATTATAGGTGTGAGCCACCTGCTTCCGAGTCGAGATCCATATCTTTACTACTTGAGAATTCTCTGGCTCAAAGAGAATGTTTTCCCACTCCTGAAGTATGCCATGCTATAAAAAATGGGAATGCTTTTGCAGAACAGTACTTTATTTTCTTTGATATTTTATGCCCTCTTTAAGCTAAGACTAAGGTAAGTAAATGGCATCCAAACAGGCTTTTTATGCACATAGTATATCAGAACTGAGACCTGGAACAAATAGGAAAGGGTTTCAGTGAACACCTGTGATCTAACAGTGCCCAGGCCCCGAGATCAAGCCCTACCACTGACCAAAAAAAAGTTCTCTCTATAGATATAGAAAGAATGTTTTCTATTCAAGGGGGAAAAGGTTGTAGTTAAGGGCTGAGAGCTAAGAGTTATTTGAAATAGTTACCACTGGGGTGCTATATTTAGTCCAAAGAAAATATTGAGCAAAGATGGAAGGTTTTAAGGTAAAAAGATCAGTATTATCCAAAGGGTTTTTTCCTAATCTATCCCCAAATCTCCTCTAGTTTAATATTATTTATTTGTTTACATGTGTGAGTAAAAATGTTTCAGTACATCTTTGTTGAGAGGTGAATCTATTTTTCTAGTTCTTGTGTCTTTCTGTTGTTGTTTGGCAGTAGTGTGATTTGACCTCAGTGTCTTACACTTGCTAGATCAGCATTTGACTGAGCTATGCCTCCAGCTCTTTTTGTTCTGGTTATACTTGAGCTAGGGTTTCTATTTTTACCTTCATAGTTCTGGATTTTAGGCCTCCTATTTACAATTCTTCTATAGTCAAGATAATAGGCATGTACCGACACATCCAATTTTTTATGTTGAGATGGGGGTCTTGTAAACTTTTAGTCTGGACTGGCTGGGTACCATGATCTTTCTAATCTCTATTGATAAGTAGCTCAGCTTTTTCATGTTTTGTTTTGACCCAAAAGAAAGATCATGTAGGTCAATCAGATCAGCTTTTCTATTCAGGAGTTCTGAATAGAAAGTCCTGGGGCTTGAACTCAGGGCTTGGGTGCTGTCCCTGAGCATTTTTTTTGCTCAGGCAAGCACTCTGCCTTTGAGAAAGACATCAGAATTCTGGTGCATGCCTGATCTAACACAGCAGATGCTTGCATCACGGCAGAAGGGGCCTTGGGGAGTCTCACTAGGGTCCACAGTGAAGGTAGTATGCAAGTGACATCTCTTGTAGAAATAAATGAAGATCACGCAAATGAAAACAAATAAAACTTGTCTAAGAGCTTGTTATTTAACAAGCAATTCTCTTAACACAAATGATAGCAGAGATTCGAAGGCCAGCAGGGAAGTAAGAAAGCTTAAAATGGCAATGTTTCAGGTAGACTCTGGTTGGATCTGGGTCTAGAGACACTGGGGGGCTCACTAGAAGCAGGGCACTTCATGATTTGAAGAGATTCTCTGATTTCCTCTGATAGAGATTGTGTTGAAAATAGGGGGCAAAAATCTAGGCAGGCCAACTGAGTGAGTGATCAAGTCCTAATGTGCTGTGCCATTTGATTCCAAGGTTATGGTCTGGCATCCTACATTGGTTATTACTGAGGTTATAGGTTAGCTTCCTGATCTGATTGGTACAGAGTTATAGGTCAGAGTTCTATCACCAATGTGCATTTGCATTTGTATATTCAACCTCTCACAGTGAGATTTTGGCATTGTTAACATTAAAAGCAGCTACCTGATGGACCATTATTTTTCCAGCTATTGAACCCACGGTCATCCAATGATACTATTTGTTTGCACAACTCTTTAGACTAATAATTTAATAACTTTTTTGTCAGTCGTGGTGCTTGAACTCTGGGCCCAGGCACTGTCCCTAAGCTCTTCAGCTCAGGCTAGCACTCTACCACTTGAGCCACAGCACCACTTCCAGTTTTCTGATGGTTTATTGGAGATAAGAGTCTCACAGACTTTCCTGCCCAGGCTGGCTTTGAACCATGATTCTCAGATATCAGCTTCCTGAGTAGCTAGGTTTACATGCATGAGCCACTGGCTCCTGGCACAGACTAACATACTTTTAAATATATTCTTCCCTCTGTTTTTTGTTGTTGTTGTTGTTGATGGTTGTGGGGCCTGAACTCTGGGTGCTGTCCCTCAGCTCTTCAGCTCAAGGTTTGCACTCTACCACTTGAGCCATAGCACAACTTCCAGCTTTTACTGCTTACGTGGTGCTAAGGAATTGAACCCAGGGCCTCATGCATGCAAGGCAAGCATTCTACCACTGAGCCACCTTTCCAGTCCCATTCTTCCCTCTTTTATATTTACAACAACTGTATGATTCTGAGATGTTAATTATCTAAGGTCTCTCAATGGCTTTGAGTTAGAATCAAAATCAGAACAATAATACAGAATTATCTGAAATACATAACTCAAATTTTATGGTACAAGCCAGGTGCTGGTCATTCACTCCTGTATCCTTACTACTTGGAGGCTATGAGCAGAAGGATTACTACTTGAGGCCAACTCAGGAAGAAAAATTTGTGAGACCCCTTGTTAACAGAGAGCTCAACACAGTGCCATGCACCTTTTATCCTAGCTACAACAAAAAGCTTAGCATATGTGTGCCTGGACAAGAAGAAAACAGGCAGAATCAGCTGGCTCAGTGGTAAGAGCATCTGTCTAACAAGTGTGAGGCCTAGAGTTCAAACCTTGATACAGCTTTAAAAAGAAAAAAAAATTATAGATATCATCTATAATAGCTCCAAAATAAGTATATTACTCTTTGTGGATACTAAATTTTGTTGATACTAAATCATAGGTTGATAAAGGATCTGTTCCAATTAAACCTCATGGTTAAGGATAAAACCTTGGAAGAAAGATCATAGTTCCTTTCAAATAGCTATGAGGCTGTCATGTGGAAGATGGATTAGGTATATTCCTATGATTTCAGAGGTCTGAGCTAGTACAAGTGAATAGAAGAGAGGCAGATTTCAGCTAAGCCCGTGAAGTATGTTTCTAATGATGAGATTCTTGTCTCCAAAAGAATGCGTTGCCCTATAAAAGAAACAGTTGGTCAGGTCTCATCATGCTTAAGTAGAATTTTATGTTCCTGTATCTCTGGAGACCGCTTGAACAGGCTGTCCCAGCTTAACCTCCGAGGGCTTCATAAGTTTCAAGTTCACAAAATTTTGCTAAACTTTGAAAAGAGGCATAGATATTCACAATATACAGTTTAAATGCATTCAAATTCTAGATGAAGTTAATGTGTTCTGTGTCTCTCAAAACATTGAAGACTTCTTTGAATTATTATTTTTACGCACATGTTTATATCTTTTCTTTTTCTGATATTTTTATTGTCTCTAAGTAGTTGTACCTAACAGTTTCACGTCAACATATGAATGTATGAGTGCAATGTATTGGGATCAATGTTGCACCTTCCATCCTTCTCCCCATCTTTGCCAACCCCATCCATACCCTCAAGTTACATGGTTCCATTTTCACACATGTATATTGAATATAATTTTTACATTTACCCAACATATTCGTGTGGGCTCAAGAATTATTTTTATTATCTTTAAGTAGTTCAAGAACATTTCAAAATGTAAAATATCCTAATAAGGAAGAGTCTAAATCAGAGAAAAATGTTATACCAAAGGTATTCTCTTTTTGATATTTTGATAAGCTATAGAAATTCAATGAGATAAACCAATACTCTCCCACCTTTAAATGGCAAATAGTCAGATTTTAAGCTGTAATCTTATATCTTTTTTTTTTTTTTTGTCAGTCGTGGGCCTGAACTCTGGGCCTGGGCGCTGTCCCTGAGCTCTTCAGCTCAAGGCTAGCGCTCTACCACTTGAGCCATCGGCCCACTTCTGGCTTTTTCTGCTTATGTGGTGCTGAGGAATCGAACCCAGGGCTTCAGGCATGCAAGGCAAGCACTCTACCACTGAGCCATCATCCCAGCCCCTGTAATCTTATATCTTTGAATGTGATCTTTTTCCTCTTTATGGCTCCTTCACTAGCATCGCTTCAAGTTAGCAATTCTTTTCTCCTCAGCAAATAACTTGAATCTTAAGTAAAACACTGTCCCTTCCGGGCCATTCTGTAAGGATGACCTATGGCATCTTCTTGCTATAGAGATCCTCTCCTTACAGTCCTTACTTGCCTCTGTGAGCCTTTAAGTCTGATCCTCTCATTTAAAAAATAATTTATTGATATTATTAAGGTGTTGTACAGAGGGGCTACCATTTCTTAAGCCAGGTAATGAGTACATTCATTTTTTTTCCTTTTTTTGCTTTTTTCTTTCTTTTCTTTTCTTTCTTTTTTTTTTTTGGACAATGTCACCCAAAGTCGGATCCTATAATTTTTGCCAGAAAGCTATTTCTGTTTTTATAATGAGATGTAGTGGCTGTCTTAAAAAAAAATTTAGAAGCTGGGTGCCAGTGGTGCCAGTAATCCTCACTACTCAGGTTGAGACCCAGAATATCTCAGTTCAAAGCCAGTCAGACAAGTCCAAGAGACTCTTATCTCCAATTAGCAAGCAAAATGCTGACCTGGAAGTGTGGCTCAAGTGGTAAAGCACCAGCTGTGATTGAAAAGTATAGTGAGAGCGCAACCCCTGAGTTTAAGCACTAGAACATGCACAAAAGGAGAGAGGGGGGGGGGAGAGAACAGCATTTGGATTGTGGAGTGGAAGTACACATTTGTAATATCCCAGCAGTACAAGAGGATCGGCAACAAAGTCAAGGCCAGAGTTGGGCTACAACACAATGATTTTATTTTATTTTTGAATCTTAAGAATTCTCCTAGAGGAGTGGGAATGTGGCTTAGTGTTAGAGTGCTTGCATGCATGAAGCCCTGGGTTCGATTACTCAGTACTACATCAACAGAAAAGACCGGAAATGGTGCTGTGGGTCAAGTGGTAGAGTGCTAGCCTTGAGTAAAAGAAACTCAGGGACAGTGCCCAGGCCCTGTGTTCAAGCCCCAGGACAGAAAGGAAGAAGGAAAGAAGGAAGGAAGGAAGGAAGGAAGAGAGAAAGAGAAAGGGAGAAGGGGAGAAAGAGGAAGGAAGGAAGGAGGGAAGGAAGGAAGGAGTTCTCCCAGAGTCTGGAAGAAATCTCTGCAGAGGTAAAGTAGGCATCAGGCAAGGGTGAAATAAATAAATACATAAATGCCTCCAACATGAATCTAGTTCCTCCGAGACTCCTTGGGCAGAGCTGGAAATTGTCCTCTTTACATATTTATTTTGTATGACTGTACATATTTACACGCGTACACATATGGCGAGGGAGAGGAAACGCGATGACGTGCGCATCTCCTTAGCGAACAGGAGGTAATAAGGAAATGAAACAGGTGTCAGTAGGGTTCTCTCGAAGAAGGAGAGAATAGGGAACAGGCATAATCCACGGGCACAGGAGTTCTCGGCAGGTAGCCACGTGGAAGAGCGAAGGCGTGCAGCTGGCGGGGCACAGGCTGGCGCTTTCCTTCTGCTCTCCCGCGGCCTGGGTGCTCGTTTACTTGGAAGGGATCTGCGTTCCTCCTGGATTGGCCGGGTCAGGTTGACTCTTCTAGATTCTAGTGACTATTTCTTCTTTCTGCTATTGCTTTCGTTGAGATTCAGGTGGAAAGAAGATCGATCGGTGAGCATTCTGTCTGGGTAAAGCGAGGGCATTCTCAGACATGAGACAGGGGAGACTTAGAAGGCGGAGGGGAAATCAGCTCTTCCCGCCCCCCTCCATCTCTCCTTCCCCCTGCTCTCCACCCCTGACCTCTCTTGGGGACCCCAGACAGCGCATCACTATTTGATCGGCCCTTCGCCAGCGCGCACTCGCCGGCAGGGCTTGGCCAAGACATCAGCCGCTGCGCTGCGCTGCGCTGTGCTGAAGCTGGAGCCCAGCCCCGCACCGGCTTGGCGAGGGACCAGCTCCGGGATCGCCCCTTCCCCCCTGCCCGCTCCCCCCCCCTCGGGGATGGCGCTGCGTCGGGGACTCATTGCGGCGCCCACCATGCCGGGCTGCCCGTGCGTCCCGCTGCTGTGCGCGCTGCTGTGCGCGCTGCCCTGGCTCCTGCAGGCTGCGGAGCCCCCCGCGCGGTCCCCAGCGCCGCGCCGCACTCCCCAAGACCCCGCCAGGGGCGCGGATTTCGATCGGGTCTACAGCGGGGTGGTGAACCTCAGCACCGAGAACATCTACTCCTTCAACTACACCAGCCAGCCTGGCCAGGTAAGAAGACGCTCCGGGGGACCCCCGCTCCACTCCTAGAACTTGACTGATAGCAGAGCGCCCTCGCTGCCCTGGGATTCCCTGAGCACCGGCCTCTGGTGACCCCGGGGACTAGAAAACGCTCACTCCCTTTCTGGGGAGAAGTAATCACAGCCCCTGCCCCCAAGCTGCAACCCACCAGGATCCTGGACCCCTCCGCTCCACCTTGCGCCCCCTCCCCCGCCAACCCCCTCCTCTTCCTCGGCTTGGTGGCTGGCATTTCTGGGCTTTGCTAGCTTTCTCCGATCTTCTACCGTTCCTGGCTCCATTCAAGGCCTTTCTCTAGGAAAAAGTCAGGGTTTCTAGGTCTGTGGGAAGGCAGAGGAGGATTGTGCCCGCCGTCCCCCACCCCTCCCCTTGCAGGGAAGGAACTTCATTTGGTTTGGATGATTCGAGCCCCTTCTATCTCATAGCACTTGGGGAGGGAGAACGGCTGGGAATCTAACATGGAAATGGTGTGAGAATGGACGGAAGCTGCAGAACCTCTGTGCATTCCACAGTCACTTCCTGCGTTTCTGTGCGCTTCTTACCCAATGCGCTTCAGTGGAACTGTAAGACCTGGGTCAAACACGTTCAGGCTGCGGAGGTCAGCTGATGGGGGAAAGGCTCAGATGCTTAAATAAGGGTGACTGCATGCGTGAAAGTTCTAGACCTGTTTCTGACGAAAGTTGAGGTGAGACAAGGGAAGCTTGTTCCAGTAAGGATGCTTGTAGCACGTGTTCTGATTATGTAATGTAGAAAATGTAGTATGTATACTATATTTCTAAATAATCTCACATTATATATTATATAGATGGTGTGTATATATGGTGTGTGTGTATATACATATATATTAAGAAAAATGCTTTTTATCTTGAATACAGTATCCTCTAAGGTGGTGGGAAGAGAAGGAGGATAGGGAGAGAGAGACAGAGAGACAGAGGAAGAGAGAGAGTGTATGTCTAACAGTGTCCCACCTCTGGACTTCTTCCCATGAGAATTCTTTGTATACCTCACTGTACCAGCATTCCCTACTCCATTAGGAATTACAGAGCCACAGGACTGGCTCATTCTCTGATTCTCCCTTACTGCACACCGACAAGGAATTTCTTGTACAGCGTAGGAAGGTCTAATGTGCCTGTTTGTCTCTACTCCCTGACATCTTTTGCTGTGTGTATCAAGGAAGTGTCCTAAATTCCCCCATCTCCAGTCTGGCACCAAAGCCTACTGCACTGTTGCCATGGCAGCATAGCACCCACCCCACCCTATCCTCTTGTAACCTTAGACCGTGTAGTAAGCACAGTGGTTGTGTGCAGAGCCAGGCCTTTGCAGACAAGTGGGAGGGGGCTCCTTCCTACCCAGTGTGGAACGCCTATCACTGGCTGATATGCACTGGCAGATATATTACTCTGGTATATTGCTACTCTTGTGATTTCTCAGTCAGGAACAGATTTTTTTAAAAAAAATGTCTGAGCCAGGCACTAGTGGCTCACCCCTGTAATCCTAGCTACTTAAGAGGCTGAGATCTGATGGTGGTTCAAAGCCAGTCCGGGCTGGAAAGTCTGTGAGGCTCTTATCTCCAATAAACCAGCATACAACCAACCAGAAGTGGCGCTGTGGCTCAAGTGATAAGAGTGCTGGCCTTGAGCTGAAAAGCTAAGGGACAGCACTCAGGCCCAGAGTTCAAGCCTCACGACCACCACCAACAACAACAAAAGTCTGAAAATCCAGTGATTCCCAGAGTAACATGTCAACTTCATCCTAAATTAGTGGTAAGGAAACTCAAATTACACACACATAGTGTAATTTGTATGTGTGTATGTGTGTGTGTGTGTGTGTCCCGGAGTTTGAACTCAGGACCTAGACACTGTCCCTGAGCTTCTTTTGGTCAATGCTAGCACTCTACCTCTTGAGCACAGCTTCACTTTCAGATTTTTTTTTTTAGTAGTTTAGTAGTCTCATGGGCTTTCCTGTCCCAGCCAGCTTCAAACCATGATCCTCAGATCTCAGCTTCCTGAGTAGCTAGGATTACAGGTGTAAGCCCTCTACTCCCCCCCCCCCATATATTTTTTTCAGATCTACTTGGAGCTAGATTGTTTGTGTGTGTGTGTGTGTGTGTGTGTGTGTGTGGTGTTGTTTTGTTTTGACACAGGGTCTTAATATGAAACCCAGGCTGGCTGGAGTTGTGATACTCCTGCTTCAGCTTCCTGATATTATTACCACCATTTGTGGCAGGCTGATTGCTGCTGCTTCCTCCTCCTCCTCCTCCTCCTCCTTCTTCTTGTACTGGAGTTTCACTTCAGGGCTTTGCTTGGCAAGTGCACTAGGAGTGTCCCCAGCCCTGTCTGCTTTTTAAAGTTGTTCTTTCTATTTCCTACTAGTTCGTATTCATTCTTCTGCTACAGCACAAGTTGCAGTTGAGGGCACCTGTTTGACTTTCCTAGTAAACCTTGAGATGTGCAGGACCAGGGCACCATCGTGCTCAGTTCTGCACAAAGTACACATAAAGGTACCAGGACATGTGAAGTTTTAGACATGTTCTGCAAAGAATGCATGAATAAGTGGGATGTCGTGAGTCACGCTAGTAATCCTAGATACTTAGGAGAGAGAGGCAGAAGGATCTTGAGTCTAAGGTCAGTCTCAGCAAAATTAGCAACAAAACTATCTCAAAAAAAATTTTAAGGCAAACATAGTTCAAGTAGTAGAGAACTTGTTCAAGCATGAGGCCCTGGGTTTAATATACAGTACTGGGGGGAAATAAAGATTGAATGGGCAAATAAAAAAGTAAAGAGCTAAAGAATGTTTAATCTGAAGTTAAATAAAATAGAGTATATTAAAATCATTTCAAATAAAAACAAAAATGTTTTATAAAAACAAACATGAAAAGAAACTTCTTATGTCCTTCCAACTTTGTATATGAACTAGATACCTTTCATCTTATGAGATAATGTGATACTTTATCTTCACATTTATTTGCATAATACAATAGTAAATCAGGAGCAGTGAGAAATCCTTAAATTTTTCATTAAAATGTTACTACTCTGAGAAAGGAAAAGTTGAGAACCATGAGTCTGGCAGATAGGATTTTAATTGTTTTGCTAATGTGCAGTAATAATAAACTAGTTGTCAAATTGTAGCTTTCTGAGATGGAATGTTAATATGCAAATAACAGAGTGCAACCTTCAACCCATTTACTATTAGTTTAATAATTCTTCTGCTGCTGCTGCTGTTGCTCCTGCTGTTATTGCTGATATTGCTTCTTCTTCTTCTTCTTCTTCTTCTTCTTCTTCTTCTTCTTCTAATTCATGTTTGCCATTATTCATTATTTTCCCTTCACCTTGGAGTAGAAATTCTATTCTCAGCTAGGCTGTGGTAAAGAGGAAGGAGTTATGAGAGCCTTTGTGCTTAATCTTTCCTGACAGCCACTGCATCTCTGTCCCAGAGAATAATTTCAACAAGCTGTGTCACACTAAATTAAGTGAAATTTACATCCAGGAAAGTCTGATGTGCCTTCCAGCTGTAGAATAAAGTACATATGAAGTTGCCATTAAAAAGAAAGTCACTGAAGAAATGGAGTGTCAATCTTGAAGAATAATGGAAATAGTAGTTGATGGTACAGGTTAGACAAGGTCAGGTTATTGTCCCCAGAGAGGAAGTGTCTAGGGACTCCCTTTAAAGGGAGTAGAGTTACACTGTGCAAACAGTGTTCTATGATCTCAGGACTCAGCCAAACTAGAAGGAAATCGCTTTATTGGGAAAGTCACCAGGGATGTGTTTGACTTGGACAAGGTTACAAGTACAGGTCCACTGGGAAATAAAAAGACCTTGTAGAGGCTAGCGGAGGAAACAATGAATGTTTCTACTTGAGTCAGACAATGATACGACTTCTTAACTAAAAGTCTGTCCACTCTACAGCAGGCTGTCTTCTCTGAGGCTTTCAGCAACAGATCCCTAATAACCTATCCTTATTAAACAGATGCATTTATTTTTCATTGCATGTACATTTTTGCCCAATGAGCAATCATTGGCTTTATTAATAATCAACCACCAGTTATCAGGGCCCAGTAGCCTCTGGAATCCACATTCAAAAAGTCTACCCAACTCATGAACAATAAAATATGGGGCTAGGAACATAACTCAAGGGATAGAATGTTTGTCTAGCTTTTCAGAGACCCTGAATTCAAACCCCAGTATCACACAAAGAAGAGGAAGAGGAAGGGAACAAAGAGGGAAGAAAGGAATAAAAGAGAAGAGAGAAGGAAGGAGGAGAAGAAAAAGAAGAGAGTAGAGGTAAAAGGAGAAGGAGGAAGAAGGGAATAGAGGGGAAGAGGGAGAAGGAGGATAAAACAAGAGAGGAAGGAAGGAAGGAAGGAAGGAAGAAAAGAAGGAAAGAAGGGAGGGAGGAAGGGAGGGACAAAGGGAGGAAGGAAAGATCTGACCATTTGAGTGCTATCTTCTATCTATATCCACACATCTCCCTATATCTCTTGATTCTTCATCTACGGCTTCAAACAACCTGAGATTTAAAATATCCAAGACAAATAGGAACTTCTTGCCATCATTTCCTAAGGAATATAGTATAACAACTATTTACATGGCATGTACATTTGCTTTACATGTTAGAATAATATACAGATAAAGAATACAGGAAGGTATACACTGATTTCAGGCAAATAAATAACTATGTCATTACATGAGCATCTGCAGAATTTGTACCTGAAGGAAGTTCTGGGACAAATTACCTATGGAAACTGAGGGAGGATGCTAATATTTTACTAGTTACATAGCAAGGTGGAAAACTTGGAAGTTTTGTAGAGGACATGCTGGCTTTTTATGTTCTTAGGCCAAAAAGCCTCTACTGCGTCCTCCCACATCCTCTTCCTGAATAGGACTAAGGCTTGTTGGAGGAAAGAATCATCTCATTAACACATTATCTGGATGACCAATCTTGCTATAGCCAAATACCATTGGCCAATTCTGTG